TTTCTCTTTCGCTGAGTTCTAACACTTTTTTCTTCCTTCCCCTATGTCCTTTCTCCACCTCTCTTTCTCTTTATTGAGGTATATCTGCCTTCTTTCAGGGTCTGTATCACGATGTGCCCTGGTGCTTTTATGCAGCAGACAACAGCACCATTTCCTGACAAATACATGCATAGCATTTAAACAACTCTTTCTTGAAGGTATATAACAAATAAATGCATAATATATTAATTATAAGTACTAATACATGCTGTAAACACTTATTTATACACTCATTTATCTAGTTTTTATATCCACTGTTACAATATGTTACAGTAACAGGAGGGACATTTTGCTAAAGTCAGCCATTGCTACTCATGTGATTAACAACAAGCTAATGATCACGGAGGAAGATTTTAAACCTGTTTATTAACAATATTTTTCGAAATTACAAACAATATCAGTTTCCACTATCAACAAGCATAACAGAGTGGACATGTTATGCTTTACCACATCAGTGAGTCATTCTAAAACATTGAAAAAAGGTGAATTAAGCTGTGATACATACTTCTTGTAGATAGTTTGTCACCAAAAAAGTATTCTATTTCTTGAGAGTCATGTGATTAGAGGAACATTCAAAGGGTGTGTTCAGAGGGACTTTCCATCAGAGTAACAAGGGGGGACATTCAATTCAGGGACACATGTTTTAAAGACTTTAAACATTAAAAATGAATAAATAACAAAAAATATATATTTTGGTCAGAAATATTATAAATAAGAATATACAACAATATTGAAAAAAATTGGAATTCGATTTTTATTACTTCCCAGATAGCCAGCCCAATCGGGCTAATTGTGGCTGAGTGTCGGCTCACTCGGCTGTGTTCTGGCCCAGTAATGGTTGCCAGATTTGGCTAGGTTTTGGATGTGCGGATCTGGCCCGATTTGCACATTTAGCCACATTCGGCCCGATTACGGATCATAAGTGCTGGTCTGAGATATGGCCATGCAGACCCGGACCAGTTTAGGTTGAGCGCTGGGGGTGGGTTTCTGGTAAATAGTATGTAGCAGTGACACTTAAACTTAAACATAATATATTTTACCTGCCCTCGTTATGTTATTTTTAGTGTATTTTTTTTAATTTTATTTCCTATTAATATTTTTCCCTTTTATCCAACATTCTCTTTTTTCTTTAACTACATTTGGAAATTAATTATTTAATTAATATAATGAAACAAGCTTAAAGTAGTTAAGGGAACTTTAACATTATTTTTGCTATATGAGTTTCAAGACATACGCACTAGCTTTGACATCTTATGACAAAACCTGTCGGGCTTTTTGTGCTGCTAATTGCCAGAAGATCAGAAGAACTTAATACACTGGTGAGTAAACATTTGATAATCTAACATATAACATAATATTTTAATAACACTTATACTTTCAATATTATACACATACACTATAATATTTTCTACACATATAATATCAAAGTAATGTTTATTTATAATGAAGCTATAATTGTGAGTTTGCTGACATAGTGCTAGAGTTTAGCTCCAATCATAATCAAGCACACCTGATCCAGCTAATCAAGGCCTTAAGGATTACTAGAAACTTCCAAACAGGTGTGAGTTAGAGCTGGTTGGAACTAAACTCTGCAGAGGTCTATAGTATTGCGACTTAATTTCTTTCTTTCTTTTTTTTTTTCTTTTCAATCAGTGCAAAGAAATGCCTGTATGGCAGTGCATCAGATGGAGAGATTGAAAAGTTCATCAAAAGATGGCTGCTGCTCACTTTGGACAGAGATGGGGGAAGAAAAGAGTGGGCCCGATTGCAAACAAATTCTTCCAAAGGTATGTTCCAAATGTTAACATTTACCAGAGTTACCATTCATGTTATCAGTCTGAGATTGTCTGAATAATCATACGTGTCATTGTCTGTTCCTCTTTTTGTCTCTCTTTCTGTCAATCTGTCCCTCTTTTAGGGTAGGCTTACTTGAGGAAGCTCCTGGAGGTTTTTTATTTTTTATTTTTTATAAATTCTAATTTCACTCATTTTCATTGTCATTTTTATACTTTGGGGGGGGGGGGGCATATGTGGCCCAATGCTGGTGGTGTTGGCCCAGTTTCAGTACCCAGACTCGGGCCAGTACTGGCTAAGTGTTTAATTTCTGGTGTGATTGTGGCCCAATGCCGGCAGTTTTGGCAGCCGGACTCGGACCAGTGTATTTGGGTCGATTCTGGGGTGTCATTCATCCTATGTCCATACCGAGTCTGGCAACCGCAACTGGGCCAAGTTATTTCATCCAGCCTGCCAGATCTGGGCCATTATCGGGCCAAACCGTTTTGGCTACCTGGGTTATATTTGTGGCTGAAGTTATGCAAGCTTACTTGGGGACATGACAGTTTAGGCTACTTGCAATAAAATCAGAGTAACTTTTTTTTTTTAATTAATTTTAGGTACATATTTATTGTGTTCTATGGTAGAGGGACAGTAACTGTGTAAGATGAGTATTAGCCCATTTTTACACAAAATATACCACATTATGTTATGGGGACTCTAATGGCACCGAAAGCTAGGAATGACCCATCTATGAATACAGTAGCCTATCGTTAGGCACTGTTGTTAATCATCCACAATTTTGTGGTTTTGTCTCACTTTTAGAGTGATGACCTCTTCCATCTTTAAAGAACACAGTCTTGCGGTCAGTTAACAATAGCAAAGAAATGAAACCGAGGACTGTTGCAACATACAACACACAAACTCGCCTGATCACCTGCTTTGAAGAAAACATTTTTAGATTTTCCAGTAAAACCACACAAAAATGCTGGGTTAAATACAACCCAGTGCTGGGTAAAATAGGGACAAACCCAGCAATTGGGTTGTATTGGTGGGCCAGCAAAGCCTTCTCTGCTGGCCTAAACACTATCAGAATCGCTGATTTATTTTAATATATTTTTCCATGAATGTGTATTTAAATTATTTCCAATAGTTTATTCTCTTAATTTCATAGCTTTTCTCTTGGTTGCACTGCTTCCAGCAGTGTATGTTTATATTAGAGCTTTTTATCCAATCATATTTCAGCAATCGTGTTGCCAGGGTCAGATAAATCTGCCTTAAGGCCTTCAGAATCAACAGTGCAGGTGTCTGTTAGCTTAAATCAATGGCAATGAAACCGTTGCTTTAACCAATCAGATTTCGAGTTGGCAGCACCAGGGCCATCTAGCTGGCTAAGGATAATGTCATAATTTTTTCGTCCTTTGATTGGATGGTCAGCATACTAGCTAGCAAACAGCATCTCTGTAAATCATTTTATTAAAACTTAGTAAAACTTTTATTACTGTTTAGATTTTCAGTGCATTTTGAAAAAATATTTACCTGCTATATTTAGTAAATCTAAAAACAGTAGTCCTAATGACGGCGAAAAACAAGCACACACCTCCTCGGCACCGGCTCTGTGATAAACTTTAAAACACATGTAATCCCCTTATTTGTTTTATACCAATGCTATCTGTAAGGTATAAATGCGCTTGGGTGAATAAATGTCTGTAAGAACATCGGATGGACTGTATTGGTGTCATTTTGTTAGGTTAATGCTTCAGCTACAGATGATGTGTTGCGCAATTGTTAATTGGGTTTTTTTCTTTAGTAATGCATTCATTCTCGCTACATAAGATACCTGTCTGTTATGTAGTGCCCTGTTATACTGCATTACTGTGTTATATCTATGATTTCTATAGCCGTGGCATCATTATGATGGTATGAATAGATGGGTTAATTCATGTAGGACGCCACTGAAGGCCTAGGTGTAAAATGCACGGCCCGCCACTGTATTTAACCCAGCATTTTTTTTTTAGAGTGCAGCTACTTTTTCAAACATTAAAGGGATAGTTTAACCAAAAATTTAAATTCTGTCATTAATTACTCACCCTCATGTCATTCCAAACCCATAAGACCGCCGTTCATCTTCGGGACACAAATGAAGATATTTTTTAAAATGCATTCTGACAGATCTCTGACCCTCCAGACAGCAAGGGCACTACCACGATCAACGTCCAGAAACGTAGCAAGGAGATCGGTAAAATAATCCATGTGACATCAGGGGTTCAACCGTAATATTACGAAGCTACGAGAATACTTTTTGTGCCCAAAAGAAAAAAAAACAACGACTTTATTCAACAATTCGTCTCCTCCGTGTCACCCTAGCACCATTTTGGAGAGTATCCACTGAATGCAAACAGCGTCTGTTGTTCTGTGTCAGCTGCACCACAGCACGGATACGTTTTCTTCGTTGTTTGTGCTTTGATTTGAACAAAGCAACTGTCAGTGGTGTGGCTGACACAAACAACATACACTGTTTATGTTGTTTGTTTTTCTTTTGCGCACAAAGTATTCTCGTAGCTTCGTATTATTACTGATGTCACATGGATTATTTTACCGATCTCCTTGCTATGTTTCTGGACGTTGATCGTGGGTACCCTTGCTGTCTGGAGGGTTGGAGAGCTGTCCGAATGCATCAAAAATCTCTTCATTTGTGTTCCGAAGATGAACGGTCTTACGGGTTTGGAACAACATGAGGGTGAGTAATTAATGACAGCATTTTCATTTTTGGGTGAACTAACCCTTTAACGCTATTGTTTGACAAGTTTTGGTGCAGTCTGACAACATTTTCAAAGTGGCTTTAAAAAGTGACACCGAATGTCCAGCCTATTCACCAAGGACCATCCACTTGGAGATTTCTACAGTCTCGCCATTTGTAATGCAACATTAATTATATACGTATTTTGCAGTATCAAAATGTTCAGACCTCATTTGGGAGAGAAAAAAAATAAAAATCTCACTCCAGCCAGCCAGGTAGGCCTAATCTACGTTTCGGCGGTTATATGCCACACGAGGGCGCCGCTGACACTGAATGATTTTACAGGCTTCTACACTAACAATCCAGTCGCGTGCGCACTTTGGGAAGCATCCATAAATTGAGTTTGGTTTGGAAAGGTGGGGAGGAGGGTCAATGCCGAGAGCCATTTATAGACCAAACGAGCTGGGAGAGAGAAATAGCATACAAAACTTGACACATCCTTTTTAGTTTCTTCAAACGTGCAAGTACAACCTGGAGTGCGCAGAAAAAGGCTGAATTATAGCACCATTTGACGCGTTGGACACTGAAGAAAACCAGACGCATGCCGTTGCTATAAATAACAGTACATAAGACCGTGGTAAGTTTACGCTCTCCATGCTTCCAAGAATTTGGAAACTTGTTTAAAGAGCCAAGTTACTAAATTAATGTTCTGTGGGTTTTTCCAACTATTTATTAAGTTTTGTAAATGCATACCTGACAACAATCCAGTTTTTTTTTCTTTTATCGCTTAATTTTCTAAAACGACTGCACTTTTGTGGCATAAGGAAACTTATTTTGTAAATGACGAAGTAAAAGCTGGGACTAGCCTACGTTAGCTTTTTGATCTTGAATTGTACATTTGACATTTTAATTGTATAATCCGACTGTGCTTGGGGCGTGCGTTATAGAGCAGTCTCATTTTATGACATTCATAATGAATGACATTCATTATGACATTACAATAACATGTCAGATTACACAGTCAATGCAATAATGAACATTACTGTAGTATTCATTAAATTACTTTACAACTGATAGGCAATTATCAATGGACTCATGTGCGGGCGGAGTGTTTTTCATTTAGGAAACTGAAGTGCGCACGCGGCCAGTGAGCTGCTGAGAACGCGGTAGCAGCTGCAGTCAGTGTGAAGGAAACGGCTGTGTGTGTGTACCTATTTAACCAAATTTGGGGGCCAAATTTGTACTCAAAAGTTAGCTAAACCTGACAAAATCTCCAAAAACCACCCTTTGGGTGTGGGTTAGGATTAGTTTATAAAATCTATAACTATCTGTATATAAAAACAATATCTTAGCTAAGTAAACGTGTGTGTGTGTGGAGGCTTTTAACCTTTTTAGTTCATCTAGTCTTGAGTGGAAGCACCATTTCAGCAGTAGTCTATAAGTCGTTGCACAGTTAGTTAAACATTTTTTGAAGTTCTTATTTTGGGTAACACATTTGTGCAGAGCCCATAAAGGGACAAAGTGATGAAAGAAAATATGAGTTACGTTGAAAAAGTTTTTTTTTTTGCGGTCAAATGCCAAGTTTCTCTTATCTTGCAGTCCTGTACAAAAACGTTGTGTTAAAAGAACAATTTTGTATTTTTAGAAATCTCAGAGGAAGCATGGGACATCTGATAAACACTTACTACAGTGTGGAAAAATGAAGTCTTGGGGTTAAGTTGAGCCAGGGAAATAAAATGTATTCAATGTTTAGACAAAAAAATACAGAAGTTGTGCTTCTCCTCAACACTTATGTAAGTTATGAAGAATAATTTACATAACAGCTTTTAAGTAGCTTTCATGTGTGTCTGATGGTCCATGGTTGCAGTTCAGTAAGTGATGGATAGTCGGTGTAAGAAAAGAATCTCTGATAGATTCATCAGACTGATTCAAACAGTTATAACTGCTGAATTTGTAAGTCTTCTTGAACCATTCGTTAAAACCACAGACTCTTACTAGTTGTTCATGAATCAGACTGCACAGGTCACACTGTGAAGAGCGGTGCAGGAATCACTGCTTGGATCTGCAACATATCTGTAGTGTCGTATTTGTTCATGTCAGAAATATATAAATATAAGTTACATCACACATGAACTTAATGTGCTTTTTACTAAAGCAGTTGAAATTGCTGCTTATTGCTGATGTTCTGTATATCAGTAAAAAGTTCATGCTTGCTTAAAAAGGTGTAAACTAACAGGAAACTCTTTGAATGGAACTCTATTTTTCTGTTTGATTAGAAAAAAACCCTCTCAGTATGCTGAATAAACTTTTGTGCAGAAACGGTTAATAAATTGACTGCCTGTCTACTATTCTTCAATATGTCTGTCGATAATATTCAGTTAGGAGTGTGTAGTTAGATTGGGAAGTTATTACATTGTTTTATAAGATGAATTGCAGCATTTGTCTGACATTACCATTAATTCTTGTGGTAATGATCCAGAATGGAAATACTTTACAGCAGGATCCAAGTCCATATTACAGCAATATTAAATATATATATGTTGGTGAAATCAGTTGCACCGGTGACGCTCATGGTGTTGCCATGAGGGTCTGTGACTATTTCTGGTGTCAGCAGGCCAGGGGGTGTGTGGACATGTGCTCTATGCATAATAAAAATACTTCAGCCTCTTTTGTCCATGTGATGAGGACAAGTATAAAAAGCTGCGTTCAAAACATGAACAGATATAAATCACATGTAAACTCAAAGATTTTTTTTTGAAGCAACATACTTGAGCAATCATATGGGAGATGACACGTGCATATAGTATATATATTGTATGTATCCTTTCTTGTGGTTTCTTTCATTCTCCAGTGCAATGGCTCCGTCGCTCTCGCAGGCCTACATGAGGCGCTGGTGGATGGCTGTCACATCAATCATAGAAAACCTGCTCTTCTCTGCTGTATTGTTGGGTTGGGGCTCCCTTCTTATCATGCTGAAGAATGAGGGCTTCTACTCGCACATGTGTACAGGTACATGGTAGGAAGGCATACACACTGACAGTCTTATTCTGAGCAGTTTTATAAAACCGCAACATGATGCAAAGCGTTAAAGTATTTGATTATCTAATTCTTCCTGTGATACTATTAGAGAATGTCACAGAGACTGACACTAATGTGAATGTAACGGAACAGACGGTTTGGCTGAGCTGTGTTGAGCAGGAGGAGATTCTGAATCTGGGCTTTACGATTGGCTCGTTCATCATCAGCGCAGCCACTCTGCCACTAGGTGTCCTGATGGACAAGTTTGGTCCACGTCCAATCAGATTGTTTGGCAGGTGAGAGACATACAGCTATCGGTATAAAACTAGAAAAGCAAAGTTGAATACTAATGTTGAATGTTGGCTTGACAAAGTCTTGCCTGAAAGTTTTCAATAAAGACTTCAAATTTGAAGGACCGTTTTAAAGCCTACTGTAATTTTTAACACTACTCATGCCCTGCAACCCACATCTTGGTCACTTCCACCAACTCTCTGTTTTATGACTTTTGTAGTTCATGCTTTGCATTCTCCATGGTTTTGATTGCAGTAGCATCTTATGATCCAAAAGGTCAGTATTATTATATACTGCTAAATAATTCAATAGGTCTGTAATTAGTTAATCCTTTATATTTAATGTTTTATAAGTAATGCAGGCATTGTTTCTTCTTTTCTTTCACAGTGTTATCAGCTCTCATATTTATTGCTGTGTCCATGAATGGGTTCGGAGGAATCTGTCTAACCTTCACTTCACTAACAGTAAGCCACATGTACACACAAATATATATAAAAAACACATTAAAAGTAGACTGACTTGCATCAGCACTTTCTCTCAGATATATGGTGCTTATGTCAGTTCTTCTTATATATACCCAAGATAACTGTCATAATGATAACTATGCAAAGTTGCCATTTGACCTGTTCTATATTCTGAGGTCCTATTGAAGTTTTAATGTATTTGGGCACATTTTAATTATTTTGTCAGTAGGTGATGTTCATGTTGACATTTGACTCTCTATTGGTGTTTAAGTGTGTGTGTGTGTGTGTGTGTGTGTGTGTGTGTATACACTACCATTCAAAATATAATTATTAAAAAAAAAGTTTTTAAAAGATATATTACTACAATTTGAAATAACTGCTTTCTATTTGAATACATTTTAAAATACATTTTATTCATGTGATGACAAAGCTGAATTTTTCTGATCCTTCAGAAATCATTCTAATATGCTGATTTGGTGCTCAAGAAACATTTCTTATTATTATCAATGTTGAAAACAGCTTTTGCTGCCTCATATTTTTGTGAAAACTGCAATACACTACCACTAACACATAATGATGCATTTCAAATAAATACTGTTCTTTTGAATTTTCCATTCATCAAAGAATCCTGGAAAAAAAGTGTATAGGTTTTCGCAAAAATATTAAGCCGCATAAACTGTTCAACACTGAACACTGAAAATTAAGCTTTTGCCAAGACGGGAAGAAATTACATTTTAAAATATATTAAAATAGAAAGTTATTTCAATTATAATATATTTTACAATATTGCTGTCTTACTGTGTTTGATCAAATAAATGCAGCCTTAGTTTTAAATTACTAAAAAGTCAGGATGCCTGCTTAGTAAGTGTATGTTTGTGAATCTGAAAGTGGTTGTGATCATTTATGCATGTATATTTGTGGACGTGTAAGGTGAAATGTATGACGCCTTTTGCTTAATTTGAATACTGCTTCTCATTACATAATATCAAAACACGTGATTGTTTCATTTCTTGTTGTGCATAAGATGTCAATTTCTGTACTTGCATGAGTTACTGCTTCTGCTCTTGTCTGTTGCTGATCACTTGAGTGCTGCGCATGTTTTCCATCCCCTCACTCTACAGTTTGGCATGCTGATCTCAGCCAATCACAGCACAGATCAGTCTTCACGCCCTCTACTCCAGTGTTTCCCAACCGGGGTGCTGTCTGTCGACAGCAGGGGTGCCGTGAAAAAAATCATTTTTTAATATTTTTTAAATTGCTAAAATGTTCAAAAAAGCATCTATTATATAATATCCATTTCTGATGTCGCCAGTAATTAGAGATGCACCGAAATTCCGGCTGCTGAAAATTAGTTCACCGCTCAGGTTTCACTTTCACGTGGTGAGACGCTCTGCGTATTATCCCGCTCTATGCGTGTGTGTGCTCCGCTCAGTTGCTCCACTCATATACCGTTCATGCTCATCGGAACAGCAAAGTCCACTCAAAAATTGAGCCGACAGGAAACATCGATGTAGTACAGTATTGTTTCTGTCTGCAATAGCCCTACTGTGTTGTAACATGGTGTGGTATATGGGCAACTCTGGTAACACTGTCCTCTCATTCATTGATCTGCTAACCGCTATGTTATGCTCACATGTTCTGATAAACATAGCTTTCTAGGACTAAACATTATTTGGATAATTGGTAAAAAAAAAAAAAAAAGTTAAATATCTTAACCCTACTGTTAGACCTACCTGAAAAACTAAAAAGCAATTTATTTAATTCGAAGGCCTGTCGTTATTTTTTTATTTGTGCTATCATTATTAATTTCTTTATTTGTTATTTTATTACTGACTGCTTCATTTTTATTCAATTCAAAGTTTGAAATTAAGCTATCTTGTGCTACTGCACCAAAATTACCCCACTGTAAAATAAAAAAAACACTGAGTGAGCAAAAATTTGTGAGATAGCTAGTTATAATGATAATTAAATAATGTTTACATATGTATAAAAGCCTACATTAAAATCTGTCATATAAATTGGTATCTTCATTAGAAATTAGCCTACTGATTGCCACCGTTGATGGACAACATTTTTTAATAATATAAAAAATATCTGTATGACATTATATTCTGCAGTTCTTCCCTGTTGTACCGAATATCTATAATTTTCAAATGATCATATCGAAGTTAGAAATTCAAATATTGTGACTAAATTAATTTTGTAGGGTGCCACAAATTTGTTAAAATTTCCAAAGGGTGCCGCGACTAAAAAAAGGTTGGGAAACACTGCTCTACTCCACCAAGCCCACCGTCTCACAACACAGCGCATATTAACATGCACTTAACATGTCCTTGCTTTCTCTCACTACTACTTACTGACCCAGTGACAGCTTTGTACTTCTTTTTCTAAAGAGTGTATGCACCTTTTGGTTTAGAGAGAAAGAATGAAGGCCAGAATGGTTGATAAATAACAAACGAGTGCAAGACTTGCAGGAACATATGCCTGATTTTAGCTTAATCACTCTAGCATCTCAGCCGGTGTGTGTATGTATGTATGTATGCATGTATGTATTGAAATATAATTATATATTATATCATAAATATAATTACATAAAGAACTATATTTTAATAGTAATTAATGACTAAAAATAAATCCTATATTTATGTATTTATTTCATGCGATGCATATATAAAACCAATAAATAAAATAAATTAATATTATTTTATTTATTTGTTTTTGTATATAATTTATTTAATGAACTACATATATAGTAAAAGTGATTATGTATAATTATATTAAATATAATTATGCATTTATTTATTGTTGTACATATCATCAAGCTTTAAGTATAAGCAGTTGCAAACATATATAGTGAAACTCTACTGGCTATAACATCGCTGCATGAGGAGCTGTGTCTTCACATGTTGTGTGGCTGAAGGTTATTTCCAACTTCAAGCTCATAATGCTCTCTAGTGGCAATAGACTAATTTTACCATTTGAATACATACATTAGTATGTTCATTTATGATTCTTTTCTTCATTATTGATTTTCTCAGTTGCCAAATATGTTTGGAAATGTGCGGTCTACGATTCTTTCACTTATGATTGGCTCATACGCCTCCTCGGCTGTCACTTTTCCGGGAGTCAAGGTAGAGATTTTTTTAAATGCATACAACAACAAACACTGTAAGCAACACAGATGCAAAGATGCAAAGTATTTGGACAAATGCGTTTGTCTTGCAGTGCAGCATATGAACATAAATGTCCTCTGTCGGTCTTGTCCTCTAGCTGATCTACGATGTGGGTGTCTCATTTTCTGTTATATTCTGGGTTTGGGCAGGGTTTGCCTGCCTCGTCTTCCTCAACTGCATTATTAATTGGCCAGGAGAATCTTTTCCTGGTCCTGAGGACATCAGATACAAGTGAGTACACGCTAAATGCACTATATGGCCAAAAATATTACGACACCTAAACATCTAATGTGTTTATTATTTTTTACATTTAATTTCAAAACGATAAATATATGTGTGTGTGTGTGTGTATAATATTTGACGGTAAAGACTTTTATAATATTACAAAAGATTTCTATTTTGAACTTTCAATCCATGAAAATATCCTGAAAAAAGTATCACAAAAAGATTATGCAGCACAACTGTTTTCCACATTGATAACAATATGAAATGTTTCTTGAGCTGCAAATCAGCATATTATAATGATTTCTGTAGGATCATGTGACACTGAAGACTGGCGTAAAGAAAACACTTAGTTAAATTCTCATAATATTTCCACAATATTACTGTTTTACTGCATTTTTGATCAAATAAATGCAGTCTTGGTGAGTGTAGACTTTTTTAAATAACTAAAAATCTGACTAAGCCCAAACTTTTGAACAGCAGTATTAGAAGAACATAATACAAATATACAGTATTACACAAATAATTGTCTATTATTGTAAAACTGTACATGAATTTCTGTTTCTCTTTATTTCATAGTACAATGGTGAAGTTGAGAGGTGAAGCAGTGGACCACAAGATGACTGAAGAACGTTCATTCACTCAGGACACTCATAAAGAGCAAGAGGGGACCAAAAAACAACCTTCCACTGATGAAGCAACCAGTGACAGAACAGTTGCACAGAGCCTGGGCAAGTCTCACAAACACAGTCTACAAGGATTGTGAATCTGATAATAAAATAATCTTTGTTATTAATGTTTTTGGGACAGCAGGATCCCCTCCCTTTTACCGTTCTGTGTGCTCACCTATTTTCCTGTGGAGCATCATCACCATGGCGATGACCCAGCTCCGTGTCATTTTTTTCATGGGTGCCATGAATAAGATGTTGGAGTTTCTGGTTACCCATGGTGACTCTCAACGTGAGCATCAACTAAACTTTTCAACCATTATTTTGTTTGTAATGAAATTGAAAAATGTGAAAGGAAAAGATTTGCTCTTTTAAGTGTGTTTTCGTAACTTTGCTCAAGAACAGATGGGTAAATGTAATCCGCACAAGCTTACAAGCGTTTGCTGTAGTTTTGCAGAAGCATGTGTTTGTGGCGGGTGTTTGTAAGTGGGTAGTAAAGATAGTACTTTAAATTGGCTTTATATTGCATTATTTTCACCACCTGTTTGCATCTGTTTTAGCCTCAGAGGAGTTAGTGAAGGAGGCAGATGAGAAAGGTAAGAGAGTCCTATTATTTTCATCAAACCAATATACACTTATTTTGGCTTTGTAACAACCAGTGGCCTTAAAGTATTTGGACACTTATAACACACTTAAAGGGATAGATCACCCAAAGATTCTGTCAGTTTTTGCTCACCCTCAAGTTGTTCCAATTCTGAACGAGTTTCTTTCTTCTGTTGAACTTGAACACAAACCATTTTTCTCCATTTTGGAGAATGTTGGTCACCAAACAGTTGACGGTAGCCATTGACTTACATAGTATGGGAAAAAAATATATGGAAGTTAATGGCTGCCATCAACTTTTTGGTTAACCAACATTCTTCAGAATATCTTCTTTTGTGTTCAGCAGAACAATTGGAGGGCGAGTGAATTGACAATTTTTATTTTTGGGTGAACTAACCTTTCAATGTACAGTATCAGTGACATTGCATTAGATAACAAAATGTCAAACCGAGGATTATTTTGTTTAATATGTTGATGTCTAATGTCTGATGTACAATGTATCAGCCAGTATGATATCAGGATTAAATGGCTACATTATTCTGGAAAGGGCTGGTATAGTGAACGGAATACAAAGTGTGTGTGTGTTATAGTGAGTATCTACTCGTCCATCTTTGGCACTCTTCAGCTGCTCTGCCTGGTCTCCTGTCCTCTGATTGGCTACATCATGGACTGGAGAATGAAGGAGTGTGAGGCCGTGGTGACTTCAGCAGAGGGAGAAAAAAGGTGAAGGTGGTGAAAGAGGAGGAGTGAAATGTTGAATTACTTTGATATGTCAGTTACATGGTTACCTTTTCCCTTTTGTTGTTTTCTTCAGTCCTCCTGGGCCTCCAAAGAGAGACGCGAAGATCCAGAAACTCACCAACGCCATCAGAGCTTTCATCCTTACTAACACTCTGCTAGTCATCTTCGGCATCATCTCCCTTATAGACAATCTACCCATACAGGTTAGACAAGGTCACAAATGTGGTTATTTGTTCAGAAATACTGCAGAATGTCATTTCATTACAAATTATTTTAGTCATTTAAAGTTTGCATTTAATTTTTTTCATGTATAAATTAAAATGTGTAGTCTATATTTATATATAACATACTCAGACATTAATCTAATTTAATGTCATTTATATATAACTTTGCAGTCATACATAATTATAATTTATATAATTATATGGAACTTTGCACTCATACATAATCTTAATTAAATGTATTGCATACATTCATATATAACTGCACCAATTATTATAAGTATATTATTATATGCATTTCCCTTTTTTTTCTCCATTCTGTTTCAGGTGGTGTCTTTTGTTCTTCACACTGCAGTTCGAGGATTTATTCATTCCTGCTGTGGTGGGCTCTACGCTGCTGTGTGAGTTTTACTTCTCATTTGAATTAGTGTTATTTTAGAATCATTGATATACTGTTATATTTTTGGTTAATATTGTGAATTCAATTTATTTTTATATTTTTGTAAAGTTTAAATAACTGCTACAAATGGCTCAGAAAGTTGGCTGTGTGTAATATTTGCTCTTTATTTTATCCTCAAACTGTTTATTTGTATATTTAGCTACCCAACTAATCACTTTGGCACTCTGACGGGCTTGCAGTCTATGATCAGTGCTGTGTTTGCCCTCCTACAACAACCACTCTTCATGTGGATGTTGGGACCGTTGAAGGGTGATCCTTACTGGGTGAGACAGACATTGTTGAGTGTAATACACTATTCATGCACAAAGCAAATGTGTATTTGTATTTAAATAGTGCAGTTTCAGAGAATCATTTTGGTCAAAGTACCAAAAATGCCACTTTTTGAATCAACAGATCAACTTGGGCCTGCTTGTGTTCTCATTGGTTGGATACCTGCTGCCAGGATACCTCTTCTACCACAGGAGACAAATTACAAAGGAGAATACAGCACGTGATAGTCTTTCAGTGAGCCATTCAGCACAAGAAAGCAACAGCCTAAACCAAACAAATGATTCTGCAAAATATCAAACGAACGGGAACGTGGAAACATTTAGTATTGAGATGAATGTGAATTATAAACCTGATTTTTGAGTAATGGTATCATGGCACTTCAGAAACTGGGCTTCATGTTCAGTCACTGTAAAGACTTGACAAATATAAAAGTGTTAGAATGCAAGCAAATGTGCAATTTAAAGCATCAGTCAAGGCTTTGACTGCGTGACTGGGCAGGATGTATTTTCAAGGCTTTTATTATCAATCAGAAAATCATTATGCCATGACCTTCAATATATAGTTTGCTGTTTTCTTCATTGTTATTGCATTGACAATTTGAAATATCCATTAAAATGGTAGTTAAATGTTATATCTTATTATTAAGTTAATATTATTATATCTAAACTTCCTCCCGTGAAGCACCTCCTGCCTCGTCACTTATGTTAAAAACAGTATGAAATCAAAATTTGCTTTATTTACTTTCTTAGGAAAATCAAGTGTTGTTGTGCACAATTTATCAGTGCACATTATACCAAAGACAATCATTTTGTGTTCATAATCTTTTATCAAATCTTGATCTAACTTGCTGAGATACTAAGGGGAACCTGACCTTCAGTCTCCATGTCTCGATCAAAAAGCCTCTATGGCAGAAGTTTTGGGAGAGTAGCTCAGAATTAACTGTGAATTCTTATTCTACCATGTTATGATCTTCATTGTGTATGTGCAGGACACAGACACATTCAAATTCATATTAGTATGCATAGTCAAAAGTTTAAACCATTAATGGAATGTAGAGAATGTAACGTTTTTCTGTACGGGTAAACCCAATCTCCCTTCAAGACTCGGGTAAATGAGGCAGGGCTTCATGAAAAGCTCACTTTACCTTGACATGGATCATTTTAATTTTAAAACATTGGTCGATTTTTTTTGTTGTCATCCCTCTCTCACAAAAGTTGATGGAAATGCAGCTTTATATTACAAAAGGTATTGCAGAGGCCAGTTTTGCACTATATTCTTTTTCAAAAGTGCTGTTCTGTATGTTACAGGACTGTAATCATGCTATCAGTTTCAAGGACTCTACTGATTTTTCAACATAATGGTGCTTGTACTGTGCTCATGTCTTTAAATATGCCTGAAAGAAAAAAATTAAATATATTCAAAAATTTTCTCACAAATCAGCCCATTTCTTAGCTGATTATTTATTTGTAAAAAAAGATTCCAAAATAAGTTGAATGAAAAATACTCCATTCATCATACTCATAAATAGACACAGAGGCACTTAGACACTTACAAATACAACAGATGTGATGTTTACCAGGTGTTCTGGTACATTACATAATAATATACTCTCACACATCTGACTCACTGTAACATTAAATCTGTGACATCCCAGAAAAGGCCCAATTGTCCAGCTTGTGCTTTAATTACTTTTTGCATTAATGTATGATAATGTATAAAACAAATAAAAAAAATACTCTACTGTGAAAAGCTTTACAGTCAGTACGATTTTAAAAGAAATTAATACTTTCATTCAGCAAGGATGCATTAAATGCATCAAAAGTGACCGTAAATACATGAAAAACGTGGCTCTTTTGAACTCTATTCATCAGAAAATCCTGAAAAAAACATGGTTTCCATAAAACTGTTAAGCAGCACAACTGTTTTCAACATTGATACTAATATGAAATGTTACTTAGATTGATTTCTGAAGAATCACGTGACACTGAAGACTGAAGTAATGATGCTGAAACTTCAGCTTTGCCATCACAGGTATAAACCACATTTTTAAATAGAAAGCATTTACTTTCAATTGTAATAATATTTCACAATATTACTGTTTTTACTCTATTTTGCTCAAATAAATGCAGCCTTGGTGAGCATAAGAATCACAGAAACTATAAAAATCTTACTGACCACAAACTTTTAAACAGTAGTGTTGAAGAATTCTTATAAATTAAGGCCATGTGTAATCTGTACTGTCATATAAAGACCATAATAACTCCAATTAACCGTCGTCTTCTTCTTATCTTTCTTCTTTTTCTTTCTGTCCGGGTCATCGTCCTTCTTTTTCTTCTTCTACTTCTTATGGTCTGAATCGGACAGAGTTTCTGTGGTAAAGATGTGAGATTGACAGTTAAGCTTTAAGAAAGCACAAGTTCATTTCTTTGTGTCTGTCCGTCACCTGGCAGTAAGGGATCCTGAGGACGATGATGTTTATGCTTGTGCTTATTCTTCTTCTTCGGTGGTTGAATATGCATCAGTCTATACTGCTCTGATAACTTTGTCAGGGCAGAGATCATGCATGCAAAACAACAACAAACGTCTCACCCACATAACCATTCACTATCAACGCTGTCTAAGAAAGACATCGACAAACCTCAGAGTACAGTCAAAGCAGAGGCAGCATCAGTTACACTTGCCTCCCTAAATGCAAAGGGGATCCTTCTTTTGTCTCTCTCATACACACACACACTTACAGGGCCAGTGTGTAGCCTGAAGCAGGTGAGCATAGCCCCAGTGAGAGGACTGAACGAGTTGAGAGATCGCATAGAGCTGTTGTCCTGAATGCCTGGGCTGTCGCTCATACCTGGAGAACAGAGGGATCAAAACACGGTGTAGTTTCAATACAGGTATTGGAGTAACCCTTGTAGGTAAAGTGCCTACTGTGCAATTTTTTTATGCACAAAGCTTCAAGGGATAGTTCACCCAAAAATGAAAATAAAGAATGTTGGTAAGCAAACTGTTGACAGTAGCCATTGACTTCCATAATATCATTTTCCATACTATGGAAGTCAATGGCTACCGTCAACTGTTTGGTTACCAACATTCTTCAAAATATCTTCTTTTGTGTTCAAAAGAACAAAGAAACAAGTGGAGGGTGAGTAAATAATGACAGAATTTTCACTTTTAGGTGTACTACGCCTTTAAGATGGTAGAACTGCTGTAGAATCGGCAGTGAAAGGTAAAAGTAGACATACACACCAGGAAGCTGAGTTTCTCCTTCACCTTCTTCCCGCAGAACTTGTTATAAGCATGCTCCAGGTTGTAGTGTGTGATGAGATTCGTGTGTCCTGTCAGCTCATTCTCCACTGTGGAGAAGACATGAGAGGGTTAACAGGTTCATGAAGGTGACCAAAACAGCTCTATTAACTCTAAAATTACCCACTACCAAAATTGACCATGGTAACTAAAGTTTCTCAATCTTTTTGACTCCAAGGCTAATCAGTTTCCTCTGGTATTTCTGCTGTAATGGCAATGTTTTGTTTTCAAACGTTGATTACAACAGATTATCATAGAGTACACGTACCAAACAACAATTAAAATTAAATAATTACATTTTAGAATTCCTGAAGTTCCAAATGTAAAATTGTCTTCATGGATTCCACTTTTTTAAACCAATATATAGCTAGAGGAAGGGTGCGTAATGCATATTCAATATAAAAATGGCCAAATAATTGTTGAGTAAATTTTCCACTCCCAGATATCACACTTTTAAAACACTTGTATTTTGTTTTTTTGTGAGGCCCTCTGAGGCCCTGGCTCCCAGGTTAAGAACCATAGCACAAAATACAACGATTATTGTTAATAAAAACAAACCCCCATCAAAATTATTATTATTATTTTTAAATAATTGAATTAATTAATTAATTTAGAAGCTGTTGTCTATTGTTGCCAGGGTAATCTTAGTAAATGTCTTACATGACATATTTTGCATGCCATGGTATGGTTTTGTGGTTACCATGGGAACGTACCATGGTTATTTGGACATAGTACCGTGGTATTCTTTGAAGTAAGTTTAGTTTTGGTTTAGTATTAGTTTTGGCAAAAGCAAAACATCACTACCATGTTATTATTGTGTGGAGGTTTGTCTTGGCTTTACTACTGCACAACGAGCTGTTGACAATTGCTTCCGGTTGTTTGGAGAAACTTACCGTAATTTATCAAGTACTTGATCGTATTGTCCACAGTTCCTAAATTTAAACAGACTCACATAATGCGTCGTAAAAATGCATTATATTGTATAATACTGTACTTTATTTGCATAAATAATTATATAAGATGAGACAAATAATGTGTTTGTGTCACTGACGCATGTTAAAATCGTCGACGGAAGTTTATTTATTACGGTAAAGGAAAAAGGCGACATATTTCCTCTTGTCCTTCCCTTTATGTGACACCATGACCAATAAGCGACGTCGTTTCAGGAAAGTGACCAATCAACGGGCGTGTTTCAAAGAGGCGGGGCGAACTTTTCCTTCGTCCGCAGTGACCTCTGTCCCTTTAAATCGTTTAATTCATTTGCCGATGAATATTGTCTCGCGTTGACGCAGACTCTGCTGTCTCGTGTCACCGCAGCACTCACTCTCTAAAAAAATAAATAATTAAGAATGGCCTTATTAACACCTCTCTTTGCGTTTCTGTATCATTTGCCGCAGGTTTATAAATGGCTACTAAAACCATACTACATAGCCTCGTTATTTATGTCTGTCGCGTTCCTGCTTGTCCGCAAAACACCTGGGATCTGCGAACATCTTTCGACGCAGCGCGAGGATGGCAATTCATGCGATTTTGACTGGGTATGTATAAAGTAGGCCTTTGGGGGTTTTAACACATGCTGAATGATAACGGATACCGTTAACAAAGGGACTGGGCAGTGGCTGGCCAGCAGAATTTGGGGGTCGCTAGTTAGCTGGCAAGAATTTGGAATACCATGCATATAAATGATGCATGTGGAAATAAGAAACATGGCAATGGTCCCGTATGGTGCATCAGAATCATTCACTGTTGTCTTTATATATATTTATTTTTTATAAAAATATAGCACACAGTGGAGTCCAAAAGCCTGAACAATACAGCAAAAATGGGCACTGTTAAATACACAGAAATTTGTAGGATTTTGAGTAATTTGAAACAAAAAACAAGCATTAAAACTGTACTATATATATATATATATATTCAGTATAATTTATGATGTATTTATAATAGACTTAAATATTGAATATATATTAAATATATATATATATATATATATATATATATATATATATATTCAGTATAATTTATGATGTATTTATAATAGACTTAAATATTTAATATATATTAAATATATACTATTATATATAAATATATAATTTATAACATAATATATTATAATATATATATATATATATAAACACTATATAATTTTAGTTTTATATTATTAAGTGTCTTTACTATGCACTAACATTTAAATTAATGATAGCCTTTGTTCATTCACTTTTTTTCAGAGAGAGGTGGAGATACTGATGTTCTTAAGCGCTATAGTCATGATGAAGAACAGAAGAGCAAGTAAGAGTTTCTCCCTCTTAAAACACTCTTTTCCATCTTTGTGCATTATTTTCTTTACAGCATTCTTTATTGATATTGAAACGTCAGCAAATAATCCCCATCCGTACTGAATCTGATGTCGGTTTGCTAAGGTTGAATTTGAAGGTTTTGTTTATACACTAAACATTTGGGTACCTGTGAGTCTTTGTGCTCTCAGTGACAGTTGTCATTGTGTTTGTTGTTAATCAGTTTCCTTTGTCATTCAATGTTTCTGTTACCCTCTCTCCCCCTCCTCCAGCTTTGCTGTTCAACTCGACCTCTTTGCGTGTGCATTTTTGTATCACAAAAGCAATGCGATATGAAAATATGTTTGTTTTTTAATATCTTTGCTCCCCAGTTACCATTGAGCAGCACGTGGGGAACATCATCCTCTTTAGTAAAGTAGCCAATGTGATTCTGTTCTTCAGACTGGACATACGTTTGGGGCTTCTCTACTTGACGTTGTGTATTGGTCAGTATTTTTACTGCAAACAGTCACTGGAGTCCTCTTCCTTTGAAAGAACTGTAGACTAAAACCAAATATTAGGGAAATGTAGTACAGGTTTATTATTGTTAACTGAATCTAAAAAAATACCCATTATCTGAAATAAAATATAAAAAAACTTTAAACTTATTTTAATTCGGCTAGTTGCCAAGGCAGCACTTCTCATTTTTGTTTAGTTAAAATACTAAAATAAATACAATAATAAAATAATAAAGCTACTTAGACATATATATATATATATATAAAAAAAAGAAATAAAAATGACTATTAAAAATACGAAAACCTGAACTAAATTTAAAATGAAAACAGAAAATATACAAATAAAATCTAATTAAACTATGAACAAAAACTATAATAGTATATCATTGATCCTAAAATAACACTGATGTGTTATGGTGGCTGTTAATATTCTCTTATCATTGATGCAGTTTTCCTGATGATCTGCAAACCTCCTCTCTACATGGGCCCTGAATACATCAAGTACTTCAGTGATAAAACCATTGATGTGAGTATGAGTTCATATTAGCCAATTTGCTTTAGAAACAAGTACTTTAGTCACACTTCATGAGCTGCTGGATTTCAAAACAAATTTGCACGGAATGGAAAAAGAAGGAGAAGAGCTGAACAATATGAATGAGAATGATTGGGGAGATGTATACTAGAAGAGCACCAGTGATGGGGTGTCTCATTGCATACTAATCAGCGCTGACTTAAAACATCAAAGGGAACTTGCTTGAGTGTGCTTGGCTTATTAGTAACAGAAATTCAAAGGCCATAAGCTCATTACTATTGCAGCCCAATGTTCTTTGCAAATAAGCCATTGGGTGTTTGAACCCAATGGTAATATACGCTCAAATTTCAGCCACATTCATAGTTGAACTTTAATTTCAGCAGCCTGAGGGGAATATCGTATTCAAGTATATGTTTGAAATGGTTCAGTTTATGCTAGTGAGTGTAGATGATCACTTCTCTTTTGTCTTTAGGATGAGTTGGAGAAGGATAACAGAGTGACCTGGATCGTGGAGTTTTTTGCTAACTGGTCACCAGAGTGTCAGTCTTTCGCCTCTGTTTATGCTGATCTGTCCTTGAAGTAAGAACATTGCTCTTCACTATGGTTTAAAAGTTAAAAAAATTAATACTTGTATTCAGCAAAGACACATTCAATTGATCAAAAGTGACAGTAAAACATAATAATTTGACAAAATATTTTTTTCAAATAAATGCTGTTCTTTTGAACTTTTTATTCGTCCAAGAATCCTGAAAAAAACAAACATTTAAAACAGTTTAATGTAATATTTTTCAACTAATGAAAAAAAAACCCATTAAGCAGCACAACTGTTTTCAACATTGATAGCAATACAAAATGTTTCTTGATCAGCACATCAGAATGATTTGACTGAAAATTAGAGTGATGGCTGCAGAAACCTCAGCTTTGCCATCACAGGAATACATTACATTTTAAATTCTATTTAAATAGAAAACAGTTCATTTTCAATTTGAAATGAAAAAACCTTACCGACCTCAATCTTTTGACTGATAGTGTACATCCGTCTGCTCAGCAGTTTCTGTGAATTTAAATATTCTGAATAGAAACAATTCACTTCTCTCTCACGCAGGTACAACTGTGCAGGGCTGAAATTTGGCAAAGTGGACATTGGTCGTTACAGCGAAGTATCCAAAAAGTATGTTGCTCTGCTGTGTCTCACTGTTTCTCTGAGCTAATTCCAACTGACTGTGACAATATGCAATGTTGTTTTTTTTCCTTCAGGTACAGGGTCAGCACCTCTCCTCTCTCAAAGCAGCTGCCCTCTCTGGTGCTCTTCCAGGGAGGAAAGGAAGTTATGAGGCGCCCTCAGGTGGACAAAAAAGGACGTGCAGTGTCTTGGACCTTCACAGAGGTGAGGCTTAAAGGGTTAGGTAAAGGTGGGGTAAGTGATTTCTGGTAGCCAATGTTGACATTTGAAATCACCAAAACAAACACACCCCTACCCCAAAAGGGTCTCGCCCCTATTTTGATAGCTCCTCCCCACACATACGTACGCAACCCAGGCAACGATTAGTTCTGTGAAACAAAGCAAAACCAATGTTACACCGTGTCTACACCGGACGCGAGCGGCGCAGCGCGACAAAATACTATAGAACTCATTATAATCAGTGATGCTGTCTACACCATAGATATATATACATATCTATGGTCTACACTGGATGCGGCACGACAAATCCCCGACAGAAAACTGCTGCTGCATTCTATTCTTGACGTATTGACACTAATTTCAAATGATTTTCAACGGTCGCTGTATCGCATCTAGTGTAGACAGACTTTAGCTGTTACGACGCAGACACGGTGTTACTCACCTATCGAGAAGAAACAAAGCAACCTCGGCGTCCGATCGCAGGCCTTCCTCTCCTTGAGTTCTCTCCAGCGCTGGAAAGCTGATCCGATATTTACACGGGTCCTACTTTTTGCCTTAAGCCTTCTTTTGTTCTGCAGATGTTTTCCTCTTTTGTTTTTTATCCGCCATCTCTATCTTTCTGTCGCTCGGCTCGGCTAATGTCCGTCCTGTGGTGTGCACTGAACGCTCTCTCCTCCACATCATGAGTTGACACGCCCCTTACTGCTGATTGGCTACAATTTTGTTTTGCTACTCGGCCCGAATCAGTTTTCTAAAGCGTTTTTGAAAAATCGCTTACCCCACCTTTAACCCAAAAATGAAAATTGTCATTAATTACTCACCCTCATGTCGTTCCAAACCTGTAAGGCCTTCGTTCATCTTCAGAACACAAATCAAGATATCTTTGATGAAATCGGAGAGCTTTCTGACCCTGCATAGACAGATTTTTATGGACCAGAAAGTTAGTAAGGACTTCATTAAAATAGTCCATGTGACATCAGTAGTTCAACCTTAATTTTATGAAGCTATGAGAATACATTTTGTGCGTAATTAATGACAGAATTTTTGGGTGAACTATCCCTTTAATCATTTGAAAAATACCTTCAGTGTGAAAAACTTTGTCAGAAACATCCTTCAAACACTTCAGCAGTCTTTAATTTTTGTATACGTTTCTGTACTATACAGATAAATGTGGTGTGACTAGTTTCTTTTTTTGTTTCCAGGAAAACATCATCCGCGAGTTTAACCTCAACGAGTTGTATCAGAAGTCGAAGAAGCTTGATAAGCCTAAAGGAGAGAAGTTCGAGAGGCCCACTGAATCTGTGTTTGCCCCTGTGCCTGAAGAGGAGGAACCGGAGGCCGAGACCATCACTGCGATGGACACAGAGAGCAAGAAGGACAAATAGAAAGTGCATGCTGCTGAAGAGCACTGTGAATCACTATGGGACTGGACCGGAGTGTGCTAATGTTCAGTATGCAGAGAGAAAGAGTTTGTATGAAGTCATAAACGGAATGATTGTGTTAGTGTTTCTTTTTGTATAATGTATTAGTTAAGTGCAAAATCAGTCCAATAATATAGTAAATCCTAATATTAATACATATTTAGATTTCATAATCATTGATATACTGGACACAGTATACACAGACAAAACTGTTATTTGGGACATCGACTTTTAATTTAATCAAGTTAAACATTGGACATCTACCTCTAATATGGTTGATAATTGTGAAGTGATCATTAGTAAGGGGTTATTTTGTGTTGCATATGCATCACTATTGGGGAACAAACTTTTTATCAGTTATTTTTCTATACTACTGTTAATCCTCCTATTCCATTGTAACTCCTAGTATTTGTTTGCTATTTTTGTGAAGCGTAGCTTGGTTTTGTAATGGTACTGACTACTAGACTGAATTCAGTGGTCCAAAAAGAGAGGGTCTTTTATGCCAACAGTTCATGTTATGAACATTTACTAAATCTGTAAGAGTGAGATCAAGATAATATTCTGCCAGATTCAGTTGTTACCTTTGACACTGAGACCCAGTTACACATTTCATTTGAGAGAATATACTGCGGTAAAAGTCTTAAATGTTTTGTATACTAAGTTTATTATTTTAAATTTCTTTATGCTGAATGATAAGCTTTTAACATTTATTTTTTATGTTAAACTGACAGGCACGGAATAAAGCTGCAGGCAGTCTTCACGTTTTAACCTTTTCCAGTTATTACATTGACTGTTGGAAGCTTTTATTGTCAATTGTTTTAGTTCCCTATTGAATAAACCATTCTTGATTTTTCACTAATATTTAATGAATTGATGTCTGAAAGATGACTAAAGTGCTTTGAGTGGTTGTGAAGTTTTTTTTTTTTTTTTGCCATTCCAATAAAACACTTTGTTCAGGTTGTGCATTTGATCTATTTGCTCCAAATTTAAACCGAGTAACCAAGCAGATGTTTGACAAATTGTTCTTAAGCTGAAACAAGCACATCTAAATCACTCATTAAAGCACTCAATTAGCATTTGAAATTTGCATTCAAACGGTCAACGCATTCTCCACAATGACATACTATGTGATGTGGCTACCAATAATATATAGGTTACATAAAACATTTTCTTGATAGACCTTTCAGAACTAACTTAACTAATTCCAGAATAACCACAGGTTCATCACACGAATAGGCCGTTTCAAAACCATAAAGTATCCGAATACCAAATTCATTATTTCATAAACCTTAACATTAAATTTATATACATTTATAAATATAAAAATTAAAAGCTTAAACTTAAAAGACAATTTAGACATTAAAAAGGCATAAAAATGACAAAAGCATACAACAAAATTACTAAAATGTTAAAAAAAGTTTAGATATTGTCTCAGCATTAAAAAAATTATCTGAGCTGAGATTCATGAAACAAACAAGGGAGCACATCTAACATTTTCAGTATTTTTAGGTACACCCGGCTATTTTCCAATGCTGCAACAAGTTAATGAGGTGCCAAAATATTTTTAGACCTTTTTTCTGATGTCTACATTGACAATAGGCTTTTACAGATGGACACATTTTTTTTGGTGTGTAGTTTTCTAAAGATTTTGTCTATTAAAACAGGAGCAATGCATAAAGGGAAATTTTAAGTCAAATGCACAACTGATTTATAAAGAGTTTATTACCAATGCTCAAACACACGCGCACGCATACACATTCACAACCATGTTCACTCACACTGAACTATACAGTACACGTTCTTTTCTTTCTTTCCCTCCTCAGTCCATCTTTTGATCCCAAAAATTCCTAGAAGTGTACTCATTGGCTTTTGTATCGGTCAGCAAATACATTCTGTCCCGATTGGCCAGCTCTGATCTGAATATTGATCAATACCCCTGACAAGACAGACGATGACTGAAATGAGTCACAATCTTCTCGAATGCAATAGGTAAGAATTAAATCATTCAAAATAAAAGGCTTTCACTGATTCATAAAGACAGCTAACTTCCACTGATATGTTTACCCACCATTCTGTGGCATTGTGAGCAGGAAGCTTTAAATCCTACATGGCTGGCTGGTCAAGGCCACCGGTGAGATTTGGCTCTGCCATATTAATAAAAAAAAATCAGGAAAAAAATTAAATTAAAAAAATCATATCTAAGAGGCAGCCAATCAATGTTTACTGTATAAAAATTTAAATATGTCCCACATATTGAAATGCTACGATTAACCCTTTGATTACCGGCTGATCTCTCTGGCTAGAGCGGCCATCAGCTCTTAATCCCTCTGTCTGATTAGATAAAAGTCCATAGAGAACAAATATCAGCCTTTGTAGGGAAAAAAAAAAAAAAGTTTTTGATCTTATCAATAGCCATTTATAAAGTCATATAAAATAACACTTTAAAAATTAAATAAAAACATCCTTGAATTTCCAAGGCTCAGAAAACACTACCTGCACTTGAAAGGCTGCTGTCATTTAAATAACGCATTAGTCCATTTCCTTATCTTTTCTACCATTTTGCTTCCCTGGTGCTGATTGGATACAGATGCAACATTGTCGCATGCCAATCACAGTGGTCTGAAACGGCTACTGAATACCACAGGTCCCCTTTTGTAAAAAAAATTAAATTCCACCCGGTGAAAAAAAAGAAAACAATGACCATTTTTTTTCTCTATACAGAACAATTTACACCTTTATGTTGGATAAAAACCTATTTTTGTTTTTGTAATGTACTGAAATGTTTTCAAGGCAATCCTGTCCTTTGCCGTCACACCGTTTAAGTGTTCCAGCTCCTTACTGGTGAGGAGTCCTGAAGTTCACTATGTCACGGCTTGAGCTGCTCCTCCTCCTCCATGTTATATCCAACCAAAACCTTCTGGTCACCAATTACATCCGTTTTAAAAAATAACAGCAGAGGTCTGCTTCAATTTTGAAGACAAGTTTTCAGATCTTTCCTGTGGGCACCAATAAATGTCCGCCAAACAGAATGAAGAAAATAATTCCATGGCTCCATTCTTGACAACACGGGTCAGAACAGTGACTCGAGATCTCACACCGATATCTCGTAAGTGGTCCCTCCAACGCCCGTCACCTTCTTCACCCCACCTCCAGGCTTGTGGGCGGGGCTCTGAGAAGAGCCAGCGCTGGAATACGCCTGACCTGGGCGAGTGGACACGCTGACAGGATTAGAAGGGGACGAGGGGGTGGAAGAAGGTTTTGGCTGCCCGTTTGTCCTACTATACGACTTCATCTGAATCTCGTCCCTAAACCAGAAAAACCGAGAGAAACAGAGACATTAGAGAAAGATTTACATTAAGTATAAACATTTGTATAGTACTTGCACTACTGTTCAAAAGCATAGGGTCAAAATGTGTTGATTTTTTAAAATAATACTTTTATTCAGCAAGGATGCATTTAATTGATCAAAAGTGACAGTAAAAACAATGCTATGATTTATATTTCAAATAAACATTTTTTAACTACACTAAAAGACATTAGACAAAAATACATTCATCACGGTTTCAACAAAAATATTAATTGGCAACTGTTAATAATAAGAAATGTTTCTTGAGCACCAAATCTGCATATTAGAATGATTTCTTAAGGATCATGTGACACGGAAAACTGGAGTAATGGCTAATGAAAATTGAGCGTTGCCATCACAGGGATAAATAACATTTTAAAATATGTGACCCTGGAGCACAAAACCAGTCTTAAGTCGCTGGGGTATATTTGTAGCAATAGCCAAAAATACATTGTATGGGTCAAAATTATCGATTTTTCTTTTATGCCAAAAATCATTAGGACATTAAGTAAAGACCATGTTCCATGAAGATAATTTGTAAATTTCCTACCGTAAATATATTAAAACTTAATTTTTGATTAGTAATATGCATTGCTAAGAACTTTAAAGTCCGCCTTTAAAGGTGGTTTTCTCAGTATTTCGATTTTTTTGCACCCTCAGATTCCAGATTTTCAAATAGTTGTATCTCAGCACAAATATTGTCCTATCCTAACAAACCATACATCAATCTTCAAGCTTATTTATTCAGCTTTCAGATGATGCAAAAATTTCAATTTCGAAAAACTGATCCTTATGACTGGTTCACAGGGTCATATATATTAAAATAGAAAACTAGTTATTTTAAAAATGGTAATATTTCACAATATTACTGTATTATTAATTAAATAAATCCAAGAGAGACTTAAAAAAAAAAACACCCACCCCAAACTTTTAAACAGCAGTGTTTGAGAGTAAAGGTATGATCCTGTAGCATGCATTTAACTATAGCACAAGGGTCTTCATGAAATGTGCTATTTTAGAGTAACGTCATATGAAAGTTTCACTGTCACAGTCAAAAAAAGATTAAAGCATCACAATGTAACCAAAAGTAAATCACAACACAGAAGAAAGAATTACGATATGATAACCAACAACGAAACGCATCACAGGATACCTATTATTTCAAATTCCTGTGGCTATGACAAAAATGCATGATATAGATGTCAGTTAAAAAGCCTCCCAGAGCAGATATCAGTTCAGAAAACAAAGTGCATAAAGACAATGAAAATAGTTTAGCCACAGTGGCAAATTCAGCCTTGGCTGCCAGTCAATTTCAATTTCTCCGCCACACAATTTGGAAAGAAAACATTCTCTTAAGCACTGAAGCATGACAGGTTTATTATAACCATCAGCTCTGCTTATCAGCATGCCACTGAAATGATTGTTAATAATGAGGGATCATTGTTTGGTCCTTGGGTTGTTTCCAAATAACAATGCATACATGTCAACTTAAAATACAAAACTCTTATGACAGAATATGGTTCATTTTGTTCTCTCCCTCATTCTAAGCAACAATGTTTCCTGTAAAGAAGATTTATTCTCTGCTTCTTAGTAGACACCAGGTTGATTTTGTTGCTTTTAAAATGCTGACTAATAACTCAGGGCAATGCAGGCTTTCCAGACCTCTAAATGAGCACAGTGATGAAGCTTTCTGTCGGTCTCAGATCTATCCATTTAGTCATTCTGCCAGTGATTAAATTGGATGTTTATTCTAGAGTAGACCATATCCAGTTTATCTACGTAGGTCACCATGGTAACAACTTAAGCGGCAGCATGATGTCAAAAGACTTTAAAAATCTATTTTTCCATCTTGCCTCTCCACATAGACAAGTGCTTTATTTGATTCTATTCATGTTTACTATGACATCATGATATGGCACTGAGACAACTAAGGTACATGAGACAACAGAGGCACGAAAAAGTCTGACCCTGTCCTGAATTGCGAGAAAAACTACCTGAAATCTGACCTGATTGTTCAGATTAAACGAAAAGCCAAGCTTAATGTTCATTATTTTTTGCCATTCAAAAAAATACATAATTAAATGAAATTATGGTGCTTGTGTGAACAAAGCTTTTGATTTATTTAAAAACTGTAATGGTTGACCAGATATTTCATGTTAAAAGGTTGTGTTGTTGAAAAGATGATGTTAAGTTGAATTAGTGATTAACAATTTATAATTTTTTTCTCTCAAAATTTTAAACTAATACTAAAGGCCTGGTTTCACTTTTTTTTTTTTAACATGCCTTAGAAAAAACATTGATGATTGAACATGATTGAACATACTGGTGTGCATCTTGAGACAAAACAAAGGCACTGATATATTTTAACATCAGTCAGTGCAAGTTTCTTTCAGTTGAAACAGCTCAGACTTACATTTTAGTCTGGGACTAGGCTTAAGCCTCGTCTGTGAAACCGGGGATAAAGTAACAATAACAACAATAATAATAATGATGATGATGGAACTTAAAATCTAAATAATTATAACTGGACATTTTAAATTAAATAGTTAATGAATTTATTCAATTAAATTTCATTAGTATTATTATTTACTATTTTGTATGTTAATTTTTATGTTGTTTTAATGTTCAGGCAACGTTGTCAAGATTTTTTTTATTTAATTAAAATGAATTTAATTTACAATGTCCTTTAACCATGTAATCAACAATTAATTAAACAAGATAATTGATTTTATGCTATTTTAATTTGACAATAATGATTCAGCAAAGTTCAACACAATGACACCAAGTAGCAGAAAGCAACAGATGATCACTACTGAAAGCGTAAAATTACTGGAGAGTTGCCTAGACAAAATGAGTTAAGACTGGTGGGAAAAAGCAGAAGGAAGAAAGAAGTGAAAGAGATACACTCACAGGAGTCTGGGAGGAGGAGGAGGAAGAGTAGGAGGAAGGATGCAGCAGGCTGCGCAGAGCGTCGTAAGGTTGAGGGGGAGTTACTCACTTTGGCGCCTGTATGCCCCCTCCCCCGACCGAGGCCGAGGCTTTGCGGACCAGGCGGTACTGCATCTCTGCAGCAGCAGCGCTAGAGTAAGACAGAGACTTCCCCAGCGGCGGGGGGTGTGGCGAGCGTGGAGGGTGGGTGGTGGGCGGCAGAGGTGTGTCAGTAGAGCGAGTGCGGTATGGATATGAGGACTGAGATGGGCCCGAGTCAGAGAGCAGAGGGGGTCGAGAGAAGCGGGGTGGCCGATGGTGATGGTGGTGGTGATGATGATGGTGGTGGTGGTGGTGGGGTGGTTGAGAGTCATGCAGCAGGCGTTCCCGCTCTCGTTCAGGTGGAGCGGGTGGGGAGGAGGTGGAGCCACGTAGATAGCCAGCGTGTTGCGGGGAGGCAAGGAGGGCAGTGCTGGAGGCACACGGCTGGTGGAGCTCTGCCTCCCGTTGCTGGGCGATCTGTGCTGACAGGTAAGGCGAACTGTATCCAACTACAGGGGAGCGCGGTCGCCCTGGTGACATCTCTGGCACTGCCGACTCAAAATCGGGGCTTTCAGAAGGTGTGAGCAGACTATCGTATGACAGACTGCCGTTCCGAGGAGCCGGTGGTGGCGTCTGATTGGCTAAGCTCTTGTAGCTGGTGGAGGTGGTAGCCTCAGATGGTGGGGCATTGTGAGAAGAGCGAACACTAGAGGACCGCGAGGCCCCTCCGGCAAGAACTGTGGGATCAGAGAAGGAGGGATATGAACGCCCTCCTAGGGAGTATCCTGTGATCCCTGAGCCTGGAGGTCCTCCAGGACCCCCACTTGTTCGCTCTGGCCCGCTTTGTTCAACTCCACCCCCCTCGTGCCCATCCAGACTGGGCTCAGAGCGATAGCCTGGCTGCTGACTGGACTGGAGGAGAGAGGACTCTTTAAGACTGTCCCGACGACTCATCTACAGAGAGACAGCAAGAGAGAGACAGCAAACAGAAGAGTTTATAAAGTTACAAAGGAAATCTGAAAGCTAAATTCAAAGGGACGTCAAGAACAAACCCCTTGGTATGGATCGTGTGGGTCACTGGGGACACATGATTTAGGAAAGCGTTTTCTATAGCTATAATAAAGAGCCAGCATTATGACAGAGAGGCTAAGCTTGGAAAGGCAGGGAACAAAACAAACTTAGACGCACTGAAGGCAGAGCACTTTGGTTTTTCACAGGAGTCTGAATGTGTGTCATTTTTGCATTTGTTTCAGTATAGCATACCACAGCGCATGAGTGACATTAAAAATCAAAAGACCACAACATCTCACTTTTCTTGCCTTGTGGTCTTTGTTGGCAGGAGATAAAAAGCCCTGGGGCCTCATGTATAAAAAGTAAGCTACAAGCAACTTGACATTTATCCTGTTGGCTTCTTAGCCTAAAATGGTAGATTTGATTGTAGCCAACTGTAGTCGACCTAAGTGACTGTGCATGATTTATCCATTTAACTCACAGGTACTTCTTATTTCACAGAATAAAATATAGTTCTGCTCATGAATATCTAGTTTGTTTTGCTACTAAATGTCTCAACCAAACCTGAACACTGTAAATTATGATTTTACTGTAAATGAAATTTTCCTGTTTTGGGGGCTGAGACCAGCCAAACAAGGATCATTCTCTTTTTGAGCGAACTAATTTAGAAAGTCTTGAAGGTTTGTAGGCCTTACAATTTCAAGTTCAATTTAATGTCACAATATCAGATTTTCACTACACAATGGTTGTGGCCAAAAGATTTCACAATAACATAATATAATCATAATAATATACAGAAACATTTAAAAATAAATAAATACATCACCTTTTCACTACACAATTGTTGTGGCCAAAATATTTCACAATAACAATATAATCATAATAATATACAGAAACATTTAAAAATAAATAAATACATCACCTTTTCACTACACAATTGTTGTGGCCAAAATATTTCACAATAACAATATAATCATAATAATATACAGAAACATTTAAAAATAAATAAATAAATAACCTTTAACTGTTAAAGTGTAGGGAAATGGAGAGAGAGTTTTTAAACAAAAGCATACAAAAAGTAAGTCTAACAAAAAACTCCTATACTGTGAATATAGGTAGAGTGTCTCGCTGCCATGTTTGAGTGTCAACAAGTTACTGTCACTGGATTATTTACGATATTATTGTCTGTGGTGTTATATTAATGTTTTATTTTTTTAAATTTATCACGGTTATCACCAATACCGGTATATTGCTATCGAAAAGGAGACAATTCTTCAATTCAGACTTTAAAGGGGTCATATGATGCGATTTAAATTTTTCCTTTCTCTTTGGAGTGTTACAAGCTCGGTGCATAAAGAAGATCTGTAAAGTTGCAAAGACTAAAGTCTCAAATCCAAAGAGATATTCTTTATAAAAGTTAACCACGCCTACCTAAAACGGCTCGTTCTAACACGACCCCACATGTCTACATATAATGAGTTTGGGAAGATTTGCATAACGCTGCCCAAATGTTCACGCAAAGAAAGAAGGCGTCATTTATTCTCCCTGTAGTATTGTTGCCGCCGCCATGTCGTGAAGACGCTGTGTGCTTCGTTGTGAAAGCAAAGCTACTTTGTTTGGTCTTCCAAAAGAGGACGATTTCCGCTTCATCATGCCTAGAGCTGATCTGTGCTGGTCGCTGAGGGAATACATCAACTTAGTTCTGTGGATTGCCGGATCGGCTTTCACCGTGGACGAAGCGGAGTCCAGTCCGGTGTCGTCACATGTGGTTGCCGCTCCTTCGTCGAATCCGCCGGCCGCGCCGTTCAAGCCCACCGCCTCAGCTCACTCTAGCCCGGCCTCAGCTCACGCTAGGCTGCCGTGTGTTTCATTGCGAAAGCGAAACTACTTTGTTCGGTCTTCCGACTACAAGAGGACACGACTAGAAATCAGTGGTTAAGTTGTATTTACAACACTGTTCCAGAACAGTTCAACCCAAATATCCAGATGTGTGGAGCACATTTTATGGAGGACTGTTTCCTGATCCTGGAAGAGTAGACTACAATGCCGGCAGTTCTGACACACAGACTGTAAGTACGTTTTCATTTAAAGGATTTGCCACTGATGATTCAAACGCGAGTTTTGGGCAGTGTAGAGTAGCACTTGTTGTTTGTCATTTCTCCGATCACAAATGCAGACAGGGTTTTATGTTTACGCGGCGTGATACAACGCAACGCGTAAAAAGACAGTATAAGTCATTATAATCAGTAATTATGTCCCCACTGGATGCAACAAATGCCTCTTTTGTAATGGGTTTTAATGTTTTTGTCTCGTCGCTCCGGCCGGGACACGGCATCAACAGTATGGTGAGGGGCGTAACATTATCGTCACACGCTTGAGGTATTCGGCCAATCACAATGCACTGGATAGCTGGCCAATCACAGCACACCTCGCTTTTCAGACCGATGAGCTTTGTAATAATCGACCAGTTTCAAAAAGGCGGGGCATAGAGGAGAAACAATAATGTACAGTACGTGGAAAATAATGATTTTTTTTTTACTTTAAACCGCATAAACACATTTTATTACACCAAATACACAAAATAATGTTATTTTTAGCAGCATCATATGACCCCTTTAAGCACAATCTTGACCAGCAGGGTTAATACAATTATTATTTTTTTTAATCTAAACTCCGTGTACACAAGCTTTTATAATGGAAACTCAGTAAAGTTTTATTCATGAGGCCTCAGGTCTTTCAGAATCAATCAAAATCACATGACATGGTGTATTTCTCATCTAATATATCCAAATCCAGCATAGTAGAGCCAAAACGGACACACCCCCACAGCTGCAACCAGCAAATTGTTTTGCACGGCCACTCTGTGAGGAGAGATTGTTTTTTTGTGGTTTAAACACTGTAGGCTTTATTAACACTACTAGAGTATAATTAAACAAATGGAACAGATTATATTTATTCTTTTGTTTCAGAACAACCATTTTGTCTGTGCCAATTCTTCTTTTGTATAAGCGGTGGCCTTTTGAGAAAGCAACGCGGTCTTTTTGTAAAGACAACATTCTTATATAATATATAACCCTTAATTAATGTAAAGATACAAAATAACTACTATGGTGATAAACTAAATAGTGGGAGATTCATAAAACAATGACAATTAAATAGAAACTCAGCTGCATTAACAAGCTGCATTTAAAAATTAATGCATATGGACACTGAAAAAAGACAGATATTAGAGTAAGGAGAGGACCATTGGCACATAATTAAACAATAACGCACACAGACACACAGAAAAAGTAGTACAGTGTAAACTTACTGATACTGTTCAACTGAAAGCCACTGAGTCAATCAAATTGGAGGGGGAAAAACAATTTAATGGATTGAACAAAATGTTAGAGAAAAAAGGACTTAAAAATGTGGTATAAAGGAAATAATAATTACAGTCATGCAAAAGAATGGGAATGACGTCAAATTAAATGTAGTGAATGTCATCACCATAGATGTGAATGAACACACAGACCTCTTTACTTTGGATAAGCAACACATACTGTACATCAACAGAGAAAAGTTACCTGGTTGGCATAGGCATGTGTAAGGGCAGTGTGGTTCTTGCCCGGACCGCTGTAGGTGGGCCTGTATTTGAACATGGTGGGGGTGGGCGGGGCTTTATTCAACAGACTACTCTCTGCAAACAAAGGACAATGAAAGACCAGACTTAGAGTTATAAACACATTTTAGTAACATGTTAAGTGAATTAAGCTGACAAAAGAGCATTGCAACAGGTAATTACAATCATAAGGCCTGTTCACACCAAAGACAAAAACTACAACTATAAAGTTTTAATAATTGTTCTAATTCTATGAGAACAGAGAAGTTCCCATTACAACTATAACGATAATGACACAGAGGAACAATATCATTCAAATCACTTTCCGAACAATTTTTCTCTAACTGATGAACATTAAAAACACAGACTATCAGAATTCACTAGACCTTAAAGAGCTTGAGGATTTAAAGCGGCACACAACATAACTGCAGCGCCTGCTTATAATAAACTTATCATACGTTAGTGTGAATGCTAATATAGTTATTTAGTTGTTTATTTATTGTTATTCTTGATTTGATCAGGCCTTTATACTTCATTCTAGGGCTGTCTCTAATGATAATTTTGGTAATCGAGTAATCAGTTGATTATTCTTACAATTAATCGTATAATTATAATACTTTTTTTTGTGGTAATAAAAACAGACCCAAGCGAACAATAGCATTTTAAATTACTTAAAATATATATATATATATATAATTGCAATGAGGCAATAATAATTTGTTCAAATAAAGTATCAAAAGCAAGTAATCATATGATATTATTAAACTATTGTAGAATACATAATATATTATAAACAATGGAGCTAATGTACATTACGCATTATAACAAATGCCTGCAGAAAGCACCAACAGCCTGACGATTGTTTTTACACTTTACAGCTCGATCTAATCCTTGTTTAATACGGACTAAACATTTAATTCAAATATCCACTTAATCTTTAATATTTGGCCATTTCTGTATGACAGAAATGCTACAGCCACTGTCATTTCCTGAATATGTGGACATCAAAAGTGTGTAAACTCAGAGTGAGGGTATAAACTTTTATTTAGAAAACGCGATGAACAGTTAGCATATTGAGAAAGATATTGAAGTATTCTCCTGTGTTTGCATAGGTTTATAAATTATTTACACTACAAATCTGATGAAATGGCACACGGTGCGTTCCCAGATAAACATTATAATAAACCCAAACTCACAACAATATGCAGAGATGGAGTTTGAGATGCTCCACACATGTAAATGATAACAGTTTGTGTGGAGCAGCATTTACTGTGAACGAAGCCACTCGGAGATGCACGTACGTAAACTACACACACGTATATATAAGCGTTTGTGAATTCACAATAGCATTATGCTTTATTATGATTTTAAAATGGGTTTAATATATCATGCAGCCTTGGAAGACAGTCTGATAATGCGGTTCATGGATTCTCGTCCGTCGAATGCGCTATTTCTAGTATTTTGCCGGTTACTCGACACAGGCAAAATGCAATTTTTTAAAATCGAGTAACTCGAATTCAAATCCTACTCCATTCTAAATATTAATATTAGATTCATAAATGGCTAAATATAAGCAAGAAAGATGAGTAATCAACAAAAGCATCCAAGTATTATGATGACATTACTGCTGTTACATTTTGAAAGCTTAACTCAACACTATTCAATCTAAGTCAAATCTTAAATGTAAAGTAAATTTTGCTAAAACAAAATTGCACAAATAAGGCAATAATGATCTATGAACATTTGAGAGACATTAATCAATCAAAATGCTGCTGTAGTTTGTCATGTTGGTTTGCTCTAACCCTCAGAGTGTCCGGCAGGTCCTCGTGACAGCCCAGGGTATCTGAGCTCTGGTTTGGGTGGAGGTGGAGGTGGAGGCTCGGCGTCAGCAGACTGACTCTCCATCAAACTGCTCTTAGACTGAAAGATTGCAAAAAAGAGGATAAAACAGAAGTGGTAAATTAAATAAAGAAACAAGACAAAACAGCTGAATAAAGGTATTTCCAACTACAGATACAGTGCCAGATAGGAAAAACATTCAAAGCATAACTCCTTTCTCCCCAATGCCAAAGTCACTGAAAAAATTATAGTTGTATCTAAATCGAATATAAAACAAATACAACAATGGAAACATCATGCTGAACAAGGTTTATAAAAAAGGTGTGTGTGTGTGTGTGTGTATGTGTATATGAGAGTCCTGCAAGGGTCCTGTTTGATAAACCAACACCAGCAGTAATTAACAGAACACCTGACCCGTTATCCGACAGCAACACTAATTTAATTCCGTACCTGACCCGTTTGACATAAAACCCATGACCTGAACCACACCCGCATTAAATCTCCTACATGAGGTCTCAGAGTGTCCGGCAGGTCCTCGTGACAGCCCAGGGTATCTGAGCTCTGGTTTGGGTGGAGGTGGAGGTGGAGGCTCGGCGTCAGCAGACTGACTCTCCATCAAACTGCTCTTAGACTGAAAGATTGCAAAAAAGAGGATAAAACAGAAGTGGTAAATTAAATAAAGAAACAAGACAAAACAGCTGAATAAAGGTATTTCCAACTACAGATACAGTGCCAGATAGGAAAAACATTCAAAGCATAACTCCTTTCTCCCCAATGCCAAAGTCACTGAAAAAATTATAGTTGTATCTAAATCGAATATAAAACAAATACAACAATGGAAACATCATGCTGAACAAGGTTTATAAAAAAGGTGTGTGTGTGTGTGTGTGTATGTGTATATGAGAGTCCTGCAAGGGTCCTGTTTGATAAACCAACACCAGCAGTAATTAACAGAACACCTGACCCGTTATCCGACAGCAACACTAATTTAATTCCGTACCTGACCCGTTTGACATAAAACCCATGACCTGAACCACACCCGCATTAAATCTCCTACATGAGGTAGACAAAACTCATTTATTTTCTCATGTAACAAGCAATAAACCATTAGGCTTTCTGAGTTAATGCATTTAAGAAAAAAATAAGACAAGCACCCCAAAATATTAACAAAAAAACTGGGACTGTTTGAAAGCAGCTGCCTATCAGCGTGCACTGGATTGAGTCAACATAGTCTTGGCTATTGGACCCACACCCTGCCCGTGCCTGTCACCCATCCAACCTGCACCCGCTCTTGACACATTTAAATACTATTCCACCCGTTACATCAAATATTAGCGGCTCCCACATGCAGGACTCTGGTGTGTGGGTGGGAGAACTTGCACAATTGGTGGCTGACTAAATACTTTTTTTCCCCACTGTATATTGGTGATTTGTGATGAATTCTTTATTAGCCTTAATTAATAACCGTGATTATGATTTGAGCAAAGAAATTGTGATTATCAGTTTAACCATTATCGTGGAAGCCCAATACCATGCAAGCCTATTTGGCACAGACCAACCAGTGTTAATTTCGTCAACGAAGACGGCGACGAAAAATATTCGTTAACGAAAATTTTTTCTGTGAATAAGACCAGAAGTTGACGAGCTAAAACTAATATCTGATGATAAAACAATGACGAAATGTATGCCGCGTCTTCCTTAACAAGACAAGACGGGACTATAAAGTTATTTGAGGACTACCGGACATTCAAAATACACCCTATAAGCTACCGTCTTGTCCTTCAAAATGTGCATCCCTGTCATTGGATTGCAATCGGATGAGGGCCGTTTGCATATCTAGTCTCAGTATGGCAGCTGCAGTGGATGGATAGGGAACCAAAACACGATCTAGCGGTCTGAAACAATGGCCTCAGCACCCGAAGGGGTAGGGATAAGGTGACCAGACGTCCCTTTTTTCCCGGGAGTCACAATTCGTTCTCGATTAACTTAAAGTTAGTGAATGCGGAATTGCGCTGATAGAAGTGCTCTCTCTTGCGCACGCTCCACTTCTTCAGTTCTCATATACAGTGCACCATCAGTTCTCAGCGCTCAAATACACACACAGCAGTCCAAATGTCTATCGTGTAGAGTATCTCACGTAAATACAGCCGGTTATGGATTAAGTGAACGTGTGTCAGTATTACATGCATGCCTTCCGTCTTAAAGGGACAGCATTCCTGATTAAGTACCTATCCGTGTCATTAATGTTAACCAACAAAAGATGTTAAATAAATATATTAAGTAAACCAACTGTATCTGAAAAATGAGTTTAATTTGTATCTCTTTCATATTTGTCTTATTGTCTTATCATGCAATATATCAAAAATGATCAATTATATATATAATATATATATATATATAATAATAAAATCATTTATTCAAGTTTTTCCCAAATTCAACTCTTGATTCAAATTTCTCATAAGCTTAATTGATTTGGTCTAAAGAGAGAAGAATTAATAAATATTTTTGTTTGAAGACTACATATAAAATAGCTACAAAATAAATGTTGGTAACTGCAGCTTGACAAAGTAATGACTAAAAGTTGTCAAAAATGCAACGACTTTATCGACTAAAACTACGAAAGACTCAAATGACTAAAATGTGACTAAGACTATTAAGCATTTTCATCTCAAGATATAGACTAAGACTAATGAAGAAACTTTAGGGTCTTTCTCAGGTTCTGGAATATTTGGTGTGCCAACTTTCCTTGAGTAATAGCAGGTTGCAGTAGGCACACCTCTGTAATATTTTGGACTAGGGCAATGGTATTACGTTAGAGGATGCCAAAAGATTCAGCAACCTCATCAGAAGGATAAGACCGGGAATTCTGAAGCTAATGGAGGAAAAGTGTATGAACATTTCCAATAATCAGTTCCTTCCATTTCTGCACATTGGTGCACACTTATCAAGCAGCTCTCTCTGGCATTCTGCACCTCTGTAGCGTCTGGACCAATCAAACACACAATTTTTCATTTGATTTAACAAATCAGTTAGATTAACAAGTCGTCACAGACCCCTCACCCAATAAACTGGATGCCAGGATGTCTGCAACGACACCAAGCCCCCCCTGGTCCCCATGGCAACCACGACACCTCTGCTAGACCAGATCCATTTACGACCTAATGGCATGTTGAGAATTTCCCCTCGCACTACATTTTCCATAGGAAATCCACAGTGCACAGTAAAAATTTACTCTTCTCTGATTAATTAATAGGAAAACCTTTCTTTGAATGAACACACATATCCTTCAGGGCATGGTGTATGTTGTCTTTGAGATTTTATACTGTTTTATGCAGGCGTATGATGGAAACACTCATTCCTGTTATGTTGCCTATATGTAATCCTACCATGCTTAGTATCTATGAATTCGCCTTCTGATGATCTAAACGAGCGTGTATATTATATGTTGGTACATAGGCAATATATTAGTGTCCTTATAATCTTTAGAAATTTTGATTCAAGTTCCATATGCAAATTACCACGCTTCCACACAAAGAGTCATAAAACTCCCCAGTATCTCAAAACTCCCACTTGGGATACCGGCCTTTCTCATTGGACAAGCCCATCTTGAGAGACGGGGATCTTCTCTGACCTTAAAGGCATCACACCATGTGACGTTATGTAGTTAATAAAGTCTTACTTGTATCACACTTGACGTTGTTCATTGTTTGCTCATAACTGGAGTCCCTAATCATGCAGATTTAAGTGGCGGTCACGCTAGACTTTGAACGTGCGAAATTTTTTCGGACGCCGCTGCGATATGGGCGGGAGCAGGATATGACATCACGCTCCACGGTTATCACAACATGGATTCAGATGTGCTTGTACTGTGTCTTTTGCGACGGCGCCGACTCGGAATGAGTTCCATTCTTTAATTCAGGAGCTTCGGCTGGATGAGGATCGCCACAAGGAGTACTTTCGACTGTGTCATATTTTATTACCATTTTTTTTAACTATAGTGAATAAACTGTATTAATGAATGAAATGTTCAAGGTGTCTGAATAAATTTTGGTTTGACTGTACATATATAATACATTTTTAAGTGCTGTGCTTTAAGTGCTGTAGGTTTTTCCCTTTAAATAATTCATTTTATACGTTCTTGAGGTGTGCAACATTTATTTTAAAATTATTCTGAAAATGTAAAATAACGAACAACATTAAGTAATTTAATAATAATACACTTGTGTATAGTAATTATATTGTACTCTATCTCTCTCTCTATATATATATTTGATTTTTATAATCTTTTAAAGATGTATTATATAAAATAGGATGCTCCGCTACGGCTAAAATGAGCGCTTCCTCCATTTTTGAATTTCTGTACAGAGAGGTCACACAGTGACGTATCAATCTTCTACTGGTCACACGTCTTCACGTGATGCGAATTCGCAGGTCAGAGTTCACCAAACTTGAACTTTGGAACGCAGCGAAATGCAAAATTTTTCGCACGAGCTTGCGTTTCCGGTCTGACGCATTCGCATGCGTATGAATGGAAGTCAATGGAACGAAAAGTGCAGTGTGACCGCCCCTTTTTGCTACAAGCTCTGTGTAGAGTTGTACAGTAAGAAAGTTATTTCCTTTAACCAGGAAATTAACGTTCTTAGAATTGACAGACAGTTGACCCTGAGAGGTCAGCTAAATATCTAAAGCGGATCTAAATATTTATAATTAATTATAACTAGTTATGATTACTTATTCATATTTCCCCATGAGCTGATTCGCTACACCTCCTTCCTCCCTCTTGCTATCAGCGCTTACAACTCAGCAAGCTACAAGCTGAGCCTTTCAGTTTAGAAACCATTAATGAAGAAATCCATGCAATGCTAAAAAGCATAACTCCAGGTTGCAATGTTGAAAAATATAAGATACATTTAATAAAGTGCTCCAAATTGATAGAAAGTTCCTGTATTCTTTAAGAACATAAATCAAGTGACATTTCAGAACACTACTTGTAGTACTTTTGACAGTTTAAAAGCCAGTCTACATTTCAGGCATATTAATGCAAGCCTGTCTGTGTCAGCTGTCCTCAATCAGATGGTAAATGTCACAAACAGATCTTTTTTGAGCTTCATCTGCCAGAGAGGGGAATTGGAGCTTGCTTGCAAAATAATCTAACGCACTCTCTGACCTAGGGATTTTGGCTCCAGCAGGAATATCTGCTTCTAAGTGGCAACTTAGGTAACATTCATGGCCTCATTCAAACATTTAAGTTACAAATTTCCATGGCCTATCTAGTTAACAGATAAGTTTTTTTTTTAATCATTCAAATTCAGACTGACTTCCTAATGAATCATTTAGAACAAATTGTGATTTGTGAATCACTTAGAACAATTTATTAAAACTCTAAGGAACAACTTGCTCACAAAAAAAATGCTGATATTTCATTCCTATTGAGAGACTGCTTGTCCAAAAGCAGATGGCTGGACAGAAGCAAATAAGTAAAAAGGCATAATTTTTTTACCCGGTGAAGGTCTCCTTGGATTCCGTTGTCGAGCACCTTGGCTGCCAGTTGAGCCTCAGTAAGCTGCGGTCGGAGGAAAGGAGGCTGAACAGACACTGTCTGAGCCTTCCTCTTTCTACCCAGATACCTAAGAGATCAGAATACAACACTGTGTTAAAACCTCAATGAGAAAATACAACATATAGGTCAAAGTTATGAAAGCAGGAGAAAACATACCTGGGTGCCTGTGAGCTACACAGAACATGCGAGACGTTCCTCAAGCAGCCATTTGTGAAGGGGTTCACGCCTCCCCTGAACTTCCCTGTTACCTACAAACATAGAGTTGACCATTAAACAATAACCTTAGTAGTTACTTTATCAGTTATTTGTCAATTGAAACAAAAAATGTTAAACAGTAAAAAGATAAAAGTGAAAAAGTAAACATCTAAAAATAATAAAAAATGGATGAAAAGAGGCAGTAGAGAAAAATAGTGAGACAATATGATACAAAAAATGTGTGCAAATGTGGTCAACACATAAAGAGGAGGAGGGATGGGCAGAAAGAAAGCAGGAAACTGGTTTGGGAAGAGGATTAAAATGAGATTACAATCTAAAGAAGCAGGGCTGAGAGGTCATATTTTGTAGGATTATAAAACTGCTTAATAGGGATTTTAATCCCAGTTCACCAACAACAACATGGTTATTGACAGGAAAACAAACACGACAACAGAAGATTATGATTGCGCATGTCACAACCTGCTCATTGGTGGTCCTGCCTCTTGCCACCAGAACGACATGGAAACCAGTGAGACCCACTACTGGGATGAAGAAAAGCCCAGAAACACACATGACAGCCATACTGATAAAGGGTCAAGGAGGAAACAGTAAATCATAATACAAATCAGTCAAGTTCAGCTCTCACTTAAAGACACCGCAGACACTATTGCACAGTCACACTCTGAATTTTGGACAAAAAATGTTGGTGTGAGCACACATAAAAATTAAACAATTGTTTGAGGATACGTGACAGCCGAATGCACTCTGTCCAGCTGCTGGGTGTGGTAGAGAATGTAAAGCAGGCCGAAGCCGAACACGCCCATTATGTGAGCCGTCAAAGAGAGCAGGAACAGGAAAAAATAACGGTAGTTCCTCCGGCCGATACAGTTGTTGACCCACGGACAGTGATGGTCAAAATCCTGCAAGGAGAGAAGAGGCAAGTTGAGTGTGTGCGAGTCATAATGGTAAAAGAGTGAGAGAAAAGCTTAAGGCTGTCCAAAGCAAGCACACTTTTCTAATTAACACAAATCGATCGTTTAGTCTGCAAAGCATTAGTCAGAGCAAGAGTGGACAGACTGATTAACGACAAAGACTTACCCTTACATAGACAAGATAGTAAAAATACAGTAAATACAAATGTTATGGAATTGCTACGAACTGTAATGTCATGTGTTTTATCAATGCACATACTGGGGTCACAGCTGAACACAATCACTGGAATAAGGTGTGTGTGTTTACCTCCACACAGTTGTCGCACACAGAGCAGTGTGAGCAACGTGGGGGTCTATAGAAACGGCAGGTGGAGCACCACTTCATCCGCACTTGAATGCCTCTAATTTCCACAGTCTTGTAAAGAGGAGCCCGGAAATCATCTTCTTTATCCTCATCTTCCTCAGCTACAACACACACATACAGACAATTTAACATGCCTTCCTCAGTATATCAAATTACACTTGTATTTTATTAACCTCCTGCTTAAAAGTCAACATGGAATCCAAACCCTGTTTACTTTATGACCTTTGTGTTTCTTAACACACATCTTCTTCTGCACAATTCATCAGTGCATGTTACTCCAAATGAATAAAAACGGTCTTCATAATTTTTCCATAAAATAAATAAACAATAATAAAAAAATAAATTATATTCCATTTCACTCAGAAACATTAGGTAAGTAAAATGGACTTTAACGCAGTGTTGTTAGTATACTATTATGGTATTGATTAACATTTAAAATTATATTTTATTTTTTGTTTTATTTTTAATAATTTGAGTATTTCAACTTCAACTTATTTTTATTTTAGTTTAGGTAACATTTCTAATCTTTGTTTAGTTTTTTTATGTAAACAGTTTTTCATCTAATATTTATATTTTATTTCAATTAAAAACATTAAAAAAAAAATTTTTTTAGTTAACAATAAGAACACTGCTTTAAGGTTGATTCCGCTGAAGTTTAGTACGCCAAGGTCAGTTCACTGAAAAAATATTCTATTCTATTTTCTACTGACTGAAATAGTTCAGACTAAATGAAGAAGAAGAGATAAAAAAAATGACTAAAGTGGCTTGTTTTTCCAATAAGGCAGCCACACATTCTACTGCAGCTGTATACTCTCACACACAGAAACATCATATTGAAGATTGTTTCACTACCTCTGGGGAAGATGCCAGGATCCATAAAGGTGTATTTTTAATAATTTGAGTATTTCAACTTCAACTTATTTTTATTTTAGTTTAGGTAACATTTCTAATCTTTGTTTAGTTTTTTTATGTAAACAGTTTTTCATCTAATATTTATATTTTATTTCAATTAAAAACATTAAAAAAAATTTTTTTTTAGTTAACAATAAGAACACTGCTTTAAGGTTGATTCCGCTGAAGTTTAGTACGCCAAGGTCAGTTCACTGAAAAAATATTCTATTCTATTTTCTACTGACTGAAATAGTTCAGACTAAATGAAGAAGAAGAGATAAAAAAAAATGACTAAAGTGGCTTGTTTTTCCAATAAGGCAGCCACACATTCTACTGCAGCTGTATACTCTCACACACAGAAACATCATATTGAAGATTGTTTCACTACCTCTGGGGAAGATGCCAGGATCCATAAAGGTGGCCATACAGAAGTTGGCCAGAACAAATAGAAACATAATGCCATTGTATATCGGCACAGCGATGGAAAACTGCTCTGAAAGCCAAGGGCACCTGTAAGAGACAGAAATCACACACTTCATGTATGTTCTATGTAATCATTCTCAAGTGTGCTAGTCTGCTTAACCATCTTAATTTAGTGAAAAGAACTGGTTGTCAAGGGAACACACTGACTGATAATGTTTTAGCCACTTTCTTACTATAAGTGATATAGACATACAGATAACCACACAATTTCTCCTGGGAAACAGACGGTACCACAAAACATACAATGTGTGAGAACACAAAAACAGGCAGAAGTGAGAAATAAAAGAACAAAAAAAGAGCAAGGGAAGTGGCACTTTATGACAGATGCGGTCCTATTTTCATTGCCTTTGAGTGATTAATCTGAGGGGTTGGTGAGAAGAGAGTGATCAGAGGGGGCAAATGTATGATGAACAGACGTGACACAGCATCTGACTTAAGCCCTCAGATTTCCTCTTCCGTACCAACTGGAAGGGCCGTTTATTTATTTAATTTTTTGGCATGATGACTATTTCATGTTCCTGCTATATTTACAGGTCACGACTTACAGAATCCAGGGTACAAGAAGTCAACAGGAAGTTGACATGATTTCTCATCAAAAGAAAACAGCTCTGACTGCTCTTTAAATGCTGATACTGCAAAAATGCACTGAACTTATCAGTTTATGCGTGCACAAGCCATTCGGTATGTTATTAAAGAGCTTAGCATTAAGACCTTTTGTTTATGTAAACATGCATTTTATTCAAACATCATGTCCATTTCAGCGTTAATAGGTCTATCTACTTCACAGAGGACTTTGGCAAAGGTGCTGTAAATAACAAAAAGTCCTACGCATGTCTGCCATGGTATTTCTTTTTTTTTCTAACTTTGTACTGTAAGTAACATTGCCAGAAAAGTGACTCCTAAGACCAGAAATGCTGTGCGGAATTACATCAATGTTAGGGTTACTTTGTCAAAATGCATAAATCCTGACAAGAAAAATCTTTTATATTGCCTCATCTAAGAAATGAACTAGGACACAGGGACTAATTTAAGTTTCAAAACCACTAAAATGTTTTGTTATACCGTTCCTGCGGTATTCGCAGTTATTTTACGTGTCGTCAAAAACGGAAAGTGCAGGACTCCCTCAGTTGTGTGCAGCAAAGAGCGTAACGAGTCACACGACCCCTCCTCCTCCGGTTGGTGCGAGCTGTCAGAGTCACCTGTGTGTGGGATGGCCGAAGGATGTGAATCCCTGGAACTTTTTCTCAAGTCTGCCGTATGTGAATTTTTTGGGTAACGTAGAATAACCATGTTCCGTACAGATTAAGTTTTAGCGCCGATCACTAAATAAATACTTCCAGCTCGTACATAAACTATATATCTGTGTCATCGTCATTTCTCCCTCTTTCACCCCCGATCAAGACAGAGACCCACCCGCCGTTTGTTTCAGCATTTAAATAAATACTATTTGGCTTGCTACCGAGGCAGATAACATGGCTAATTAACTAGCTAACGTCAACTAGTTTCCTCCCTCACGTTACTTCACAGAGCGGGGAATAGCAGTCTAAAGTACGTACTGTACTTTTCTGCGATTTAGTACAATAATTTTTACCCAGACATTTAAAAATAACATATTTTAGAGTTGTAATCGCAATACCGTGAAACATTTTATTTTTTTTACCTAATGTGGCAGGACTAGTGAAGCTCTTCCTGCTTGCATTTGGTTGGCTAGTTGTTCATTGATTGTCCTATCATCTGGCAGTGAGCGAATATATAAATTCGTGGGTGAGGTACTATGGCTGATCTGTCTAAATTGTAATTTCATTGCAGACAGACCAGTAGCATTTGGCTAGGGTTGCCCCTCTGCAGTTCGAGTGAGACTGATTCAGCATGACTGGTGCGGGTGTTCACCTGACATTACGGACACGTTTTGTTTCTCCATCGAACCCATTGTTTCCCATATAGACTGAACGAGCCCTCAGCTTCCCAGCACATTGTTCGTCTGCCTGACTTATGTCTAAATTGTAATTTCATTGCAGACAGACCAGTGGCGTCACTACTTGCGATTAGCTTCCCTGTTGTTGGGGCTATGTGGGAACTATTATCTGGAGACGCTGTTGCTTTGATTTGGAGCTGAGTGCCTAAGGCAGGGCTGGATTCCTGGTGTTTCTTTCACGAGTGCTGGTTGGAGCATGCGTGCGTGTGTGTGTGTCACAGGTATAAGTGAAGGGTGTTTTGCTGTATAGGCCGATTGTGCCCTTATGCCCTGCTGTCAAGCCTCGGTTCCTGTACCTTGATCCTTGGATGTCCTTGACGACCCAGGTTGCCCACTGTTGCATTTTGTGAAGTGTGTAATTGAGTTTGTTATATGTGAACTGTTGTGATTGCTCTTCTACCTCCCTTTATGTAATATACCCTTTTTAATTGTAATAAATTACTTTTGTATATCTATGTCCCCTGCAAATTTATCGTGAGCTGACCTGTGTTGCCTAAAAAGAAATTCATTAAGAAAGGTCCCTGGGCAAGACCCAGGGTGGCGTAGTCGTGCTAAATCTTTAATCCTTTACTGCTTCGCCACACTAAGGTTATCATACCGTCAGAATCTCATACCGGCCCATGCCTAGTTGTGAGTCTTTTGAAAATCAAAAATAAGAAATATCTGTAGAGGACTGATCTGGTTATCATTCAAAACGTTAATAAAAATTATTAATAAGCAAAGAGACCTTTTAATACAGCACAGGCAAGGTAAATTCTGATCTTCTAAGCTGTGTGAAAAATCTTTCTGATATTTAAGAGCCTGCCGTATTGAACATTAACTTATGAATTGTGGATATTATTAGAAGTGTATTCCTTAGATGTAAGCTGTCAAAAATTTCAACAACAAAAAAAGACAATTCCAGTTATTTTAATACTAAGACTATAACATTCTTAGATGTGGCTCATTTAATGATAAAAAGGCTGAAAAGTGACAACACTGAAATTATGTTAACTATAATGTCCTACTTAGCAACTGCTGCCATATGATCATCATCAGACAAGCTATTTTGTAATGTAAAATATTGGAATCCTGGATAGTTTTAAATAAGATTTTTAAGAAATTAACCTGTAAAATATTGTCGGTTAAAGCAGTGATAAAAGATGCACGTTACTTAGTAAAAGAATATTAGAAAAAAAAAATTCTAAATGTTTAAATAAATCACAAGAAGTGTATGCAAGCACCCCTCAATCCCAAATCAGTAAGAACACCTTCTTTTTTAACTAAATGTTACTTCCTTTAAGTATTAATTCAGGTAACAGATATACTTGGACAGTAACACATGTGCAAACTCACAACACACAGTTTTTATAAAAATATGTCAATTGTTCATACAAACGGTATAATCTACAAGGTCGTCTTGATGTGTACACTCATACATTGATATGCAATAAAGAAGGCATTCAAATATTATAACAGTATTTTTTTTCCATTCGTTTTCATCTAGCTTGGGTGCGTTGCTGTGATACTAACAAGTGAACACACTGCTGGGTTTTAGAGAATAAGAATATCTTAATTAACTGTGCCATTGAAAACCAGTTCCAGGTAGAATAATTTGGTACTTCTGAACGAGTTCTAGGCAAAAACATGCCATTACTCACTCCATAGCACAGCAATACACTTTTTGATCACTGTTATTTACCAGTACATGTTGACTCATCCATCATAAATGATTGCAGCAATCAGTGTTAGTAAACATGTCTGTGTACTCACGTGAAGCAGAAGAAGAGGGTGGTTGCTCCAACCAAGAAGGCCGTTGCCGCAGAGACCGGCACGTAGCGACTAGGCCGGAGAGGTTTGGATGGAACAGTGGTGTGGGGTGGGGAAGTGGGTCCAGACAGGCCCCCACTCATGCTGCCGCTCGGCATCACCCAGGGGGCAGGATGGCAGCGCGCCCCGGAAAATTATATGTTTGTAAGTGTGTTTGTGTTGTCGAGACAGCACAAACGCAAAGAAAGGCTAGGGGAGAAGTCGTTGTCCTTTTAGCATTATAGAAAAAGGCCACAAGATGAGCATTGTTTCAATAGTACAAAACAAATTCTCAAAAAGTTAAAAATGATTAAAAAAAAACAAGGATAAAAAACAAAAACAAGTGGTAAACTGAAGAAATTTGAGCTTTTAACAAATGGAGTTAAAAGTTTCTGATATTTGGACGCTCTGGCTTATATATTATTAAATCATTTAACAAAAATTGCTCAAAAACTTTAAAGTCTAAATATTTTCTGACTATTTGTTTTCAAAAAGCTTAAGAAAACGTTTAAAAAGTGCCACAAAAAAGGACTGTAATATGGAAACTGCTTAAAAAAAATTAAAATTAAAATTTGGGTATCTAAATTTTTAGTGGTGCTTTGTAATATGGAAAATTTGGGTATCTAAATTTTTAGTGGTGCTTTAAAAGTTTTTTAATTTTTTTTTTAAACGTTTACCTTATGAAAAAAATTTGGTGTTACTATACATAATAAGAGGTAGAGTAGAGCAACGGGTATGAATTTGAGTTTTCTCTTTCTTTTTTTTTTTTTGGATGCTGACAAATTTTAAAAATATATTTGAATTTGATGTTTTGATAAGCAGCACTGTAGTCAATTAATGTCCTGGAGTTTTCATCTGCTGTGAATTTGGACAAAAAAAAAACAAATTAAAATAATTTAAACTGCGAAAGACACAAAGAGGGACAGGAGGATTTTTCTCAGTTTTGGTGTAGTTCAGGGAGCAATGACAGCAAAGGAATCAGATGGAATCAACTGTTAACAGTTTCCCCTCACCATCCACACTATCAGAAAATATAAAAATGTCTTTCCTTCATTTCAACCAACCAGTGCGCTACACTGCACCTTAAGAAATGGAATCTCAAGTGTCTCTCTCCAGAGTCGAAGCATTGCTGATCCACAGGTTAGTTTCGAAGGACATGGCAGTATCTTTACAAGTAAACAGGCTTACACATGCATGGATGATTAGATCAAAATTCTCGCTTTTTGAGACAAGAGGCATGAAATGAAAGGAATACTCCGGTTAAAACACCTCTCTTGATGGAGCTTGCACAGAGTCAAAAAACAGGTGAAAAGAGCAGCGCTTAGCTAACACACACCTCAATGCTACTGGGAACTGATCTAGGTCAGTGGAGCGATTCGGAAATGACGACTTTGGAGCTCAGAGGAATTCTGGGATTCACAGGTGAGTATGTGAAGATTGAGTCAAAGAGAAAACAATAAACAAGAGTTCAACTTCTCCCTTGGGACACTTCAGAGACTTCCTTAAATGTGTACGTGTGCGTGTATCAGGCCCAGCTGCCGTCTATTAGCAGATGAGGCAGCATTACATAAGGACCTCAGGGGGACGCGGCCTCAAGGGAGTGCCTTGAGCCATGCCTACGCTTTCTTCTCCGACTCCGTGGAGTTATCTCCTCTTTCAGCTGACCATATGCACACTCACACACACACACAGAGTAAGCATGCACTCATCCAATGATGGGGTCTTCGAGTGAATGTGCCGGAGAGAATGGAAAAACTCCACCTGAAAAGGAAAGAGGGGAAAAAAAATTGAATTCTGAGCCAAAAAAGGCTTGAGCAGCAATTTTTTAAATGGTAGGGTTGACACAAAACAACAAATTTGGTAAATAAATTATCTATTACAGGGCTCCAGACAAAAATTAATAAATCAATCAAAAAGCAATTGGCTCCTATAAGAAAGTTTTTTTTTAAGAAAAAGGCCACAAGATGAGCATTGTTTCAATAGTACAAAACAAATTCTCAAAAAGTTAAAAATGATTAAAAAAAAACAAGGATAAAAAACAAAAACAAGTGGTAAACTGAAGAAATTTGAGCTTTTAACAAATGGAGTTAAAAGTTTCTGATATTTGGACGCTCTGGCTTATATATTATTAAATCATTTAACAAAAATTGCTCAAAAACTTTAAAGTCTAAATATTTTCTGACTATTTGTTTTCAAAAAGCTTAAGAAAACGTTTAAAAAGTGCCACAAAAAAGGACTGTAATATGGAAAATTTGGGTATCTAAATTTTTAGTGGTGCTTTAAAAGTTTTTTAATTTTTTTTTTAAACGTTTACCTTATGAAAAAAATTTGGTGTTACTATACATAATAAGAGGTAGAGTAGAGCAACGGGTATGAATTTGAGTTTTCTCTTTCTTTTTTTTTTTTTTGGATGCTGACAAATTTTAAAAATATATTTGAATTTGATGTTTTGATAAGCAGCACAGTAGTCAATTCATGTCCTGGAGTTTTCATCTGCTGTGAATTTGGACAAAAAAAAAACAAAAAAAAACAAATTAAAATAATTTAAACTGCGAAAGACACAAAGAGGGACAGGAGGATTTTTCTCAGTTTTGGTGTAGTTCAGGGAGCAATGACAGCAAAGGAATCAGATGGAATCAACTGTTAACAGTTTCCCCTCACCATCCACACTATCAGAAAATATAAAAATGTCTTTCCTTCATTTCAACCAACCAGTGCGCTACACTGCACCTTAAGAAATGGAATCTCAAGTGTCTCTCTCCAGAGTCGAAGCATTGCTGATCCACAGGTTAGTTTCGAAGGACATGGCAGTATCTTTACAAGTAAACAGGCTTACACATGCATGGATGATTAGATCAAAATTCTCGCTTTTTGAGACAAGAGGCATGAAATGAAAGGAATACTCCGGTTAAAACACCTCTCTTGATGGAGCTTGCACAGAGTCAAAAAACAGGTGAAAAGAGCAGCGCTTAGCTAACACACACCTCAATGCTACTGGGAACTGATCTAGGTCAGTGGAGCGATTCGGAAATGACGACTTTGGAGCTCAGAGGAATTCTGGGATTCACAGGTGAGTATGTGAAGATTGAGTCAAAGAGAAAACAATAAACAAGAGTTCAACTTCTCCCTTGGGACACTTCAGAGACTTCCTTAAATGTGTACGTGTGCGTGTATCAGGCCCAGCTGCCGTCTATTAGCAGATGAGGCAGCATTACATAAGGACCTCAGGGGGACGCGGCCTCAAGGGAGTGCCTTGAGCCATGCCTACGCTTTCTTCTCCGACTCCGTGGAGTTATCTCCTCTTTCAGCTGACCATATGCACACTCACACACACACACACACACAGAGTAAGCATGCACTCATCCAATGATGGGGTCTTCGAGTGAATGTGCCGGAGAGAATGGAAAAACTCCACCTGAAAAGGAAAGAGGGGGAAAAAAATTGAATTCTGAGCCAAAAAAGGCTTGAGCAGCAATTTTTTAAATGGTAGGGCTGACACAAAACAACAAATTTGGTAAATAAATTATCTATTACAGGGCTCCAGACAAAAATAAATAAATCAATCAAGAAGCAATTGGCTCCTATAAGAAAAAAATTAGGCAGCAAATTATTTTTTTAGGTGCCACAGAATAAATCTGTTCTTTTTTTTTTTTTTTACACATACTGTCATGTGTTTATGTCTCTTTTCTTGTCTTTATCAGCATTTTAATCCATCTTGTAGATGTCCTAGGAACTAAGGGTCACTTAACTAAATGTCTTTTCCAACTTCAGAACTATATACAATCACAAAGAATTCTTTATTACACAGAATCTGTGCCAATATCACGGACCATAATTATGTCAGCATCACTTGGCCATTGAGTGTAGTTTTACCTTTAGCTCCTTGCATTCTTTCTTATGTCAACAGGTTAAGTAAAAATCTGAATATGTAATATAGCGCATAAATTTTGCAAAATGCTCCTACTTATCGTTTTTTTTTTTCTGGCTGACTGATGATGAGCTTATGGACACTGAATGGTTATTCTGAGGTAAATGTATTGTTACGTGGCATTGTTTAGGCTACAAGTTTTCCACGTTTTTTGAAACACTGAAATAGTGATTACATGAGACATTTCAGTAAGATGTACTGTATCTTATAATATACCTTTAGATGTCCATTCATGTTTATTTCGTACTATAGTAGTAAAGAGAAAGATATGATGGGTTCACATGCCACTTGAATTGAGGCACTAAAGCGATCACTCATGCTGCATTAAAGAGTGCCAAAACGGTATTTATTCTTTGAATTTCATTATGAATTTGGCAGAATTTTAAAGCTGATACTTCGTTTATTAAAATGTAACAAAGCACAAAGCTTATTGCGATTATTGGACGGCAAGTGCGCTACAAATATAATGAAGCTCATGCATTAACAGACCACAGCATATAGACTAAAGATTTTTTTTTCAAGTTATGCACGAAATAGACATTGCTTTTCTGCACGCACATCACGCATCTCTGCTCTCATGCTGCACAACTGGAGCTGCTTTCAGCAGATGAGCCATCAACGCTGCTGTTCGGCAGAGATGAGGACTGATTGAAAGTTTTTTTTCCACTAAAACTTTGATGTGCATCGCCTCAGTTGATTATGTCAACATAAAAGATGTGATCGCAAAACAATCAGAAAAAAATTAATTACACACAAATTTTTAAATCATAACATGTAAATTTCAATAATTGCAAGTGGCGACCTCAGCAAAAACTTCACTCACAAATTAATATTTTTAGTCGCAAATGCGACCGTTTTAGTCGCAGTCTGGAGCCCTGAATTTATTTAAATAAAATTTATGTGAGCATTTGTTTCTATAATGTATTCTGTGAATTGTGTGTGAAAACATACACTACAAATAATCATTCTATTATGCTGATTTGGTGCTCATTTATTACCAGTTCTTTTTGGCGCTCAATTGTTAATAATGGTTCTTATCATCAATGGTGGAAAGATGCTGGAATTAGGATGCTGGCATTCTTTGATTAATATAACATTCAAATAAAATAGCATTTATTTAAAATACAAAACTTTTGTAACATTAAACATTTCTTTGCTGTCATTTTTGACCAATGCAATGAGTCCTTGCTGAAGGTAAAACCGTTTCCATAAAAATATTGAGCAAAATCTGTTTTTAACATTGATAAGAAAATGTTTCTTGAGTTTCTCATATTAGAATGACTTCTAAAGCATCACGTGACACTGAAGACTGAAATACTAATAGCTGAAAATTCATCAAAGTAGAAAAGTTTAATATTTGAGTTGTCCTCAAAAATTCACAAATAGCGTGCCCAATGTAGTCCAAATCATGAGCAAATGACATTTATGAACCAGTTCTTTTAATGAATCATTAAAAAAAATTAATGAACTCAGGTGTTACTAGTCTGAGGGGGCTTTCACACTGGGCACTGCTTGGAACAGCAGCTACGCTAATTATGTCGCTATTTTTTGCCGTAACTAGGATTTACACAAGCTTC